AAACAAAAGGCCTAATGCCACCAAGTCATAACCAGACTGATTTATAAGGGTAAAACAATACGCTCACCTCACAATACGATATGTATCATAGCATAGGGCCCATGATACGATACGAATCACGATAAGGATTTACTAAGAAAAATTGTCTGTATTCCATTTGAATTTTTTAACTTCACAGTCACAGATATATTATGCAATGCTTAAAATTAATTTAAAGTGTAGAAGTAACAACAATACTATTATTTTATTTTATTAGTGCCGCTAATGTTATTAACTTGTTCTAATTTAGTAAATATTTTTATATTGAAATTCCTTTAATAATAATTTATGTGAACTGTGGTACTCTCACAAAGTCAAGTTAGGAAAAGACTTGATTACATAAAGGGAAGGAATTTTAGGAAATCAAAATAAACATGGGAGCAGAACGTAAGAATCACAATACAATTGTATGACACTTGACAATATCTTTGTAGCAGAAGTTATTTGTTATAGTGTGTTATATATTTTATTCAAATATTGCCTTCAATATAAACTGAATTTTTTATGCATTTGTTTGAAGCATTGACAGAAAGACAAATGTATATTCTGTCAATAAAGAACATATCCCATGCAATATGGAAATATGTGCAATAAGTTGACGCAATTGTGGCTGATAATTGAAGAGTGATTTATTTATAGCTACTTGAATTCTATATGACTATCAAGTACTTGACAAATGTGAATTTCAAATATGCATTTTATGAGATTTTGTATACAAATTTGCCTGTAAAAATAAGCAGCTTTATATCGTCAATGGTATTTTCTATTTTCTGTTCCTCTGTTAGACAACATTGTTGTTATTTTTAAAAGTTGAAAGTTGAATACCTGCATGTACAGTCAAATGCTTACAGAATTTTCTGATATATATAAGTATTTATTTTGTTATAATAAAGCCTTTTTATAGTGCCATATGTAAAATTACTAGATTAGTCAATGGAATTGAAAATGTCATGACAAGTCTTAGAATGGTTGTCTTGTGTGACAGTTTTTCTCATTCTGAGATTGTCATAATTATGCAAAAATTGAACTGTTTTTACAGCACCTTACAATTATTCTTATTTTGTATAGGCAATGTCATGGAATATATTTTGTAAAAAAAACACGCAAAAAAAACAAAAACAAAAAACTCTTGTTGTCAGTAAATATGCATTTTCTTGAAATATTTGGATCAAACAAAAGTTAAGGTGTTAAAGTTTATATTGCGACATAACAACTGTATATATATATATAAATGGTCCGACGTCAGCTAAATTTGTATGCAGCATTCTATGTAATACCAAACTTTCTGTTGTCTGATGTATTATGACAATGTGCCTTGTTAAACATTTCATTGTGTTTTCATATGAATAATAAAATACTGTTTACTTTTACTTTACTTTTTTTACAATAACAAAAAGAAAGGAGTGTTTGTAATAGCATTAGATAACCTTCTATCATCATGGAGGGCGCCACTTGTTGCCATAGACGATGATATGATTTATATTTTATATTATGGGCAAATAAATGTGGAGATAAATTGCCCAAATATTTTACACCCATCCAGGACCTATTGAATTAGTCTTCGGATGACAAAATTTCTGATGTAAACCAAATGTTATCTGGACAATACAGGATCACGGTGCCATCGCGGTTTGACTGATCAATACACAAGATATTTTGACAAGGGAAGAGATTGGGCAGAATTGTTGCCGTTTTTCATTTACTATATTATTGATCAGGCTGTTCAGTCAAACATTGATTTTTCCTTTTACAATCTTTGATGTCTGAGAAATGATGCAAAATTTGATGTGCTGCTGTGTATAGGGAAAAAAATGATGTTGTATAAGATAGACAGAGAGGCTCGTGATCAAAATAAAACATTTGATTTAAAACTGTCTAGAGTAGAATTGAATTTCTTTATATGGTGCCTAGCTTATTTCATACAATACCATATATTTTTTATTTATTTGTTTACTAGTTTTAAGTTTTCAGAAAATTGGTAATAAGAAACATTATCATGCTCCATGAATGCTTCCCCCCCCCCCCCAAAAAAAAAAAAACAACTTCACAGACCATAATTTATAGACTGCTTCATCGTTCTGTAACAGTTCGGTTGAGCTTTCCTACAGTTTCTCCCAGCAATTGAATTTATTGACTGATATCTTCCATATTTGGTAGATACATATTGGGTAGTCCCCTAACTTCAAGTAGAGTTAAGGGTTACTGGGATAACGGTCAAGATCATGGTCGCTGTTACTAAAAATCGCTCTTCATTTACTGACCAAATCGTCTTTCATACTTAGCAAGCATAAACCTTGAGTAATCCTCTAACTCAATACTATTATCAGAGTAAAGGTCATCAATGCTTAAAATAGATTTTTTATACTTTTGCTCATGCAGCCTTTTACTCAGGCAAACAATTCTTGCCTCAAAAGATATGTCTTGTTTTTTAGATATCATCTGTGTTGTTTTTGTTTTTTTTGGTGAATTTAGCTATGCTTGGGTTAATTACATTAAAGCTGCTAATCAAATGTTATTTTGAAAGAATTAAATTTTAGTAATTTTTTAACTGAAAACGTTTAATTTTCAAAATTTCGCCAAGATTGTAAATATAAGTGTTACATCTCTGCAATAAAATTGCACAATTTTGTATGATATAAGTGTGTATAGCATGCTTCTGCACATTATATGGGAAATTATCTTTTATCAATTTTCGGATCATTAAATTTTATATCATTGAAAACAATTTAATGTGAAAATTGTATTAGTAGCAACTTTGTTTTTGAGGATTATTCTGTAAGATGCGTGAGGAAAACACTCAATATTAACTACGTAAAAAAATTAGAGAGATGATTAATTTGAATATTTTCTCAATGCTATTACTGTAGACAGATAACTCAGCAAATTATTGGCAGAAAAAATATGTTTTATCACGAGAAAATATTCAAAATATTGAGATACATGCAAGATTATCACTAATTCGCCATCGACTGCAAGCTTGGATAGCGTGTGATTTATTCCCACTTTATAATACAAAATGAAATAGGATATGATGAAATCATACAAAACGCGGTTTAATATTAGCAGATATAACAAAGTGGATCCTGATTTCTGAGATAAAAGCCATGTTGTGTTACATCAGTGATGAAAGGATCTTTCAGAGGAGGCAAAAAATGCAACAATATCACAAACATAAGTTTTCAATGATGCTTTTATGACTGATCTACTTTCAGTTTAATCTGTTTGATATACACACTTCTACTGTCAAGTTTTGTTGTGCTATCGTGCTATCGTGCACAATTAATTCATTTTGAATGTATGAGTAATCACGTGGTGGGGTAATGTCAGAGGTTTAGTCTGTGTGTGGTGCCAGTGGGAGAGAAGCTCTATTCTTTACTGGATGGATGAATGGTGAAATGACAAGAATATGGTCCAAACATTACCTTTTTGTTAAATGTTACTTTTTCTTTACCCTACATAGTACATTCAGCTTTGAATCTAGCATAAATGGGATTTTATTATCTCTTACTTGGGCTAAATATCTTAAATGGAATTTGTACATCTATCAATCTTGATCAAACCATTCATCATTTTCAGGAAAAATTTGAAATATAAAATGACTGAATAGTGAAAAGTGCACACTATGATGATATGGCAAAGATGTGCTGGCTCACAGATCTTGTCGTCTGCACTAGCTAGTCTGCACTGGTTGCAGAGGTAGATTGAGATGCCACTAGTTGGCTAAGAATTTTTATGATTCTTAAACTACAGCCATTAGGATTGTAAAAGTCTTGTAAAATTCAAGTTAAAACTGACTCACTCTGGTTACATCAACAAGTCTTTATAGCAACTATTGTTTTAAGTAGCTTTAGATAGGGGACTAATTTCTTGGAACAACACATTTCCTTAATTTGTTTCCAAATTTATGTAGCCGTGTGGGGCAGATAATCAGCTTTAAGAAAATGTCACTGGTAAATTGTTTGTGCTTAGCTGTGAAGTAACCTACAAAAATAGAATATAAAAATTATATAAAACCATTTAAAGAGTTTCATTTCGAAACTTGAAAAAACAATTTAAAAAAAATTGTGACATGTGAAGGCTGTGATAAGTAGGTCGAACTAATGAATATGTCTTGCAGAATGGATAAGCATAATTATGTATACATGTATGTTTGGTATTTTGAAACTGTGTTTCTTATGTTGCCATCCATCTTAAATCATCTGAAGAAATGTACATTGTCATATTTTTTTTAATTTACTTGCTATTTTCATACATTTATGTCATGTACTGTCTTAGTATAATGGAAGGGTAATGCGGAAATGTTAATGTGTTGGTTCTCATACAAATGTATATCCTATATAACCACAATGGTTTTTCTCACTTAATTGGGAAGAGGCCTTAGCCTCTTGATTTTGGAAAAAAAATATTGCTAAAATTGCTAATTTGGGAAGTAAAAAAGCTGGATTAAGTTCAGATTTTTGAGAAAACTGCATGATTTAAAAGAAACTTCTGATTTGAAAGAGACTTTTTATAGGCCTCTGTTATACTGTATAAGGTGAAAAATCACTGAACCAAATCTTAGGACTGTGGAAAAAAACAGTCTCAAATCCGGACCAAGCATTTTGCGAATATGAGATATATTTTTAGAGGGACAGTTGAAGTGAGATATGGCTCACCCAGCACATTACGAAGAGTTTCTAGACTAATGCAAATTTTGATGCCCCCATGAATATATCTATGTGATTATAAGAATAAAAAATGTGAAATTTATCAGAAACAAAGATGCTTTAAATCAGTAAATGATGTATCCATGGAGACAGTTCCGTCAGAAATTAATAGATGTTCGATGCAAATTGTATATACATCTTTTTCTTACAAAAATATTATTTCAGTCTTGTAGACAGCCCAACGACCATGGCTGGCTGATTATTTCAAAGAAAACTGCATAATTTTTGTTTTTATTTGTACAAAATTAAACAATATTTGATATTTCTATTTTTAGAACGTCAGCCTATGGAAGCAATGTTCCAGGGAACACAGTTTTTAACCTATGACCTCACACGACGTGGTGACTCATTCTTCAGTAGTAATGATGAGCTGAGTATGCACTTTAAGACAACAGAGATGAATGGACTCCTCTTCTATACAGGTAACATTCATGTTGGTTACAGGTAACATTCAAGTTGGTTACAGGTAACATTCAAGTTGGTTACAGGTAACATTCAAGTTGGTTACATTAGTAACATTCAAGTTGGTTACAGGTAACATTCAAGTTGGTTACAGGTAACATTCAAGTTGGTTAACAGGTAACATTCAAGTTGGTTACAGGTAAACATTCAAGTTGGTTTACAGGTAACTTTCAAGTTGGTTACAGGTAACGTTCAAGTTGGTTACAGTAACTTTCAAGTTGGTTACAGGTAACATTCAAGTTGGTTACAGGTAACATTCAAGTTTGGTTACACGGTAACTTTCAAGTTGGTTACAGGTAACATTCAAGTTGGTTACAGTAAACGTTCAAGTTTGGTTACAGGTAACATTCAAGTTGGTTACAGGGTAACGTTCAAGTTGGTTACAGGTAACATTCAAGTTGGTTACAGGGTAACGTTCAAGTTGTTACAGGTAAAATTCAAGTTGGTTACAGGTAACTTTCAAGTTGGTTACAGGTAACACTTCAAGTTGGTTACAGGTAAACATTCAAGTTGGTTAACGGTAGCATTTATGTTGGTTACATGTAACATTCAAGTTTGTTACAGGTAACATTCAAGTTGGTTACAGGTAACATTCAAGTTGGTTACAGGTAACATTCAAGTTGGTTACAGAAAACATTCAAGTTTGTTTGCATTTCTGTCACACCAACACTATCCAGCTTTACTAATGGAGGTACAGTCTGGTAGAGCTGAGGTGTCCTTTTGGGATTATTTCAGGTATCATGTTATCCATTAGTCAAATGGAGCATTTTGATCTGGATAATTATCGTTCTTTCAATTTTCAATGAATGTCTATTAAATAAGGGGATGAGATTCGCCTAGATTTATCAAAATCCACCCTTTTTTAAATCAAAATTCACACTTTTTTAGTTAGAGAACCTAGTTATTAAGAATAAAGGCATTTTTAAAGATAAGTTGACATTTTGAGCCATACATTTTTATTTTTTAGTCTCATTGACACAGTAAAGGTCTTAGAGCAACTTTTGGCTTTCAAATGAGTGAGAGATCATTCATTGTTTCTTTTGTTAAATTTTCAAAAAAAGAAACCTTGACAGAACTATTGACCTTCCCTGAGCCATCTGGATGAATTCTTTTTGGAAAGGATTTATTGTCCAGCACTGTAACTATAAGATATTCATAAAGAAGTCGCAATCTCGAAAGCTTGTCATAGGGGACCTGTTTTTATACTGATGTTAATGTTTGACATAGGTAGATCTTACAGAAACATAACCTGTATAAATTTCAGTTCTCTTTCTGACAGAGTTGTCTGTTATAAATTTTACTGCTGAGAGAAACATTTCCTGTAGGAATTATTATTTTATAATTACCTCATTATTTCAAAAGCAATATCAGTATTCATTAATTGGTACTCTTTAAATCGTTAAGATTATTAAAACTGAATTCTATGTAAATTTGAATGCTAATTTAATATCAGAAATATTTTCTATGGTATTTTGTATGGTTTAACAAATGTCCCAATTTTGACAAATATAGCTCATATGTTTTTATTTTACATATTTTAGATGACTGTTTTAACAGAGTGTTTTTTTATTTTGGTTGAAGGGCATGTGGATGGTAGCTTGCATTTACCAGCACTGTCCATGAACAAGCTCAATCAAAGCAAGCCTGCAACATTTTCAATTTTGCTGTTTCGGACATTTTTTAGGGATTCCCTTTTTCACTATTTTAGGTGAAGACAATGATTACATGAAGGTGTCACTGTTGAACGGAGCTATACATGTAGATATAAGCCTGGGGTCTGGACCTTTCAACAAGAGGGTAGACATGGGCGGGTACAAACTAGATGATGGTCAGTGGCACGAGATTGTTGTGTCCAGAAACTCTAGACAGGTAAGGTTGCCATGGAAACTTATTATTTATATATTTGCTGTTGTGACAGTTATATAAGTGATGTATAGAAATTTAAAAAAACTTATGTTTTTCTGTGTTATAAAACAGGTGAACCTTGTATTACAGAATACAATTAATAAAAACTAATATATTATAATAGCTGGAGCAGGTGTCCTCATCAGCATGATATTATTATATAAAGAAAATTAACAAGTAATTGATACTTCAAGCTTACATAACAGGGTATCAGTTTTCCCTCTCATAGTGATGTAGGTTTAGTGCAAATGCTTTCAAAACTAGTGCAGATATCTTATTTTTGACTAAACTCAGCTGTAGGAATGTTGTAGATTACACTTTATTCTGCCCTTGTTCTGACCATACCTTTCCCTGCCTTAGGTTTTTTTTGTCCTCCTGACCTGTTTCTTTTAATACTTTATTTTGTTTCAAACTTAAGTAGCGACTGTCCTTAGTTCCTAGTATTTCAAATGTAGTATTCTGTTGATTGCCTTAACTCTCTGTTGATTATGATAGAATATTAGATAATACTACACTTCACACTCTTAGACCTCTCATAAATCTGCCAAATGCTTCATTTAAATTTGCGTATTAAATTTTCTAAGTCAAACAAATATAAAACAAACAACGAAAAAAAAATCTTAAATAAATAGAGAATATTGAATAAGTGTAGATTAAATACCAATTTACATTGTTTTATTCAGTAAGTTCAATAGAATTAGTATTGAATCTACCTGAATATAATATTCTTTTTATCACATACTGTTTAAAGTAAAAAAGAAACACTTTTTCATTAACGCGCCTATAATGTAAAGCTAACATTTAGCACATCTTTAAGCCTTAATTTAATAATAATATTATATAACACAAATGAAATTACATCAAAATATATGCACTACTGTGCAATACTGTTTTTAGGGAGTCGCAAATGTGATTATTACCTTTACTCAATCCTTATTCCGACTATGCACAGCAGTTTAAGCCTTAACATACTGAAGTTGTGTAATTGATTTGCCCTGCTTTGAATTTAGATCAATCAATTATAATTTCAAGGGATTTCAATGAGAAAATATAAAAATTGAACTACCAACAGTATAGTGAGGTCAAAATGCACTGATGTACTAGAAATCTATACTGATAATAAAGGGCTTAACACTTTCAATACCAGCAGATAGAAGGTTGAATGGCAGAGAACCTTACAAGACAAATTTTCTGTTATGATAAATTTTACAGAGCTTGAATATTGATTTTAACAGAATAAAATAGTTTTAAATATTAACCATATATAAATAAATCTCCTGCAAAACAAAAGAGTTTTCCTACAAAATCAATGAACTTGTGATTCAGATTTCTGGCAGTTCTTCAATTTTTAGAAATCACTATTTTGTTCTTCTTTATGCTGTAATTATGATATAAATGGCAGATATTTTTTCCTCCAAGCAATGTTTCAATCTTTTTCACTAAAAATATAATCTCATATTTGACATAAGATGCTATCATACGATAAATAACAAGTGAGAAAGTACCTCCTAAAGGAAGAGTATTTTCTGCTTTAAGAAGAGTATTCTAACACTGTCTTCATAAACTGCCCTAATAATACCCTCAAATGTCAGCAAAGCAGTATATAAACTGCCAGTTTGCCATTATTCATGGGAAGACTGTGTTTTTTATGAAAATTTAGTATGAGGATATGCATCAGAATGTCTGCTATATTGACTCGGAGGGTGTTAAAGTATCTGTTTTTTATTGCAATAAATACCATTGAATCAATGAGGGGAAATTATTACGAGATTAACATTATAATAAAATAATGAATTACAGATTGAATACAGATTTTTTTTATTTCCCATTATGTAGTAAAATACTCATGGGTGGTCAGTACATAAAATTCAGTTTTGGAATAGTTTTAAGTGAAAACTTTCGGTATGAAATAATATTGATGGCAGATGCCAATTTTCATAGAAGTAACAAGTTTAAATGATTATCAAAGAAATCTGCATACAATTGAATTGATTAAACCATCTTCCCAGTCTTTTCTTATTCCCTTCTTATGTTTTTTCCAGCTGACTTCTCAATATTAAAAGTCCCCAGCTAAAGATAGGCATCGGTTTTTACATCCCAGCTCTGCTTGATTCCTGTTTCCAAATTTTTTTTTTAATTATTCTGACTACAATATTGGATGTGTTTTAAATTTTTAAATTAATTTGGATGCTAATGGTCTTTGCATGACAAATTCAACTTAAAATTGCACAATTTTTTAATGCTGTTATAGAAATGATTTTTGCTGAGTTGGCATTTTATTAGGTTAGCATGAAACAGTTTAAGACAATTTTCAGTTTCTTTTTTCAGTCCTAGAATGCACATTTTTTCCTAGACAAGAATGTAACACATTTATTATAGAGGATAAATTTGATTGTATATGTATTCTCATATATCAAAATGTATGCCAAATTTGATGTGAAACACTGTTTTTGACACAGTATATATATCTATGATATAATATATTTGCTCATGTGATATGCTAAACACTCACGCAGTGCCATAAATTTACTAAGTTTCTCATAATGGTGGCTTTATAGGCCAATATTGTAATATACTTGCATTACTGAGTGATGTTGCAACCATAAAAGTTTTAAAAAATGAACACTATTGTATATTTGTCACCATGACAGTGAAAACAAAGCCATTATATGTTTTTTTACTAAAAACTCATACATCATACTACAAAATTTTATTATATCAAAGTTATATATCCATAAAAGCAAAAAAGAAAAATATATGTCGAGGAAAGTTTAATTGATATGTTTATTTAGAAAATTGGAAATTATAACTACATTGTATTATTAAATTGAACTTAGAAACATGTTGTATGAAGATTAAAGGTCAACACAACCTAGAAATAGTATCATTTTATTCATTTATTGATAATTAAAACCTTTAATCAAAAGTGATTAGCCTTTGCAACTAGTATACAGCCAGTTGCTAGACTTAACCAGTGTCTGACAAGTCTCTATACTATTTGTTGACTTTCCTTTTCATTTTGATATCCTGCAAGTTGTTAATAAGCAGTTCCAAAGATGGAAACTACACCAAAGTCCATTTTGTAAATTCAGCCAGTTAACAGTTAAAAGTTGACATAAGAGCACAGTGTAACAGTCTTTATTTTTCTCATCTAGCACCATTGTCTCCTTTGGTTTATAATGTGATATTTTTTACACAATTCTTTCAAAAGATACAATAACATCTGCCTAAATTTTGTCAATATAATAAGTCTTAAAGAGGCAAAAAATGGGTTACTTAGGTGGCATTGAATACAAAGGCTGGTAAAACACAAGCTTTTAGTCTCCATGAAGGAGATTTCTTGAAGGCAAATGTTTCTTTGTAACCTTAATGCAGATGAAAGTGATGGAAACTTTATGACACTTAAGTGGTATATTTTGTTACTTTTCTGATTGCAACAGTCCAGAATCAATGATGTAAATATAGTAACACAGAATTGCTGTATCTACCACTGTCATAGTTCTGAGATACAGTAGTTTTGTTCTGCCGTGATGACATTATACTCTCCTAAGTGTCATAATGGTTGGACAATGCTGGTTATTAATACAGTTATACAAATAACGGTTTCCTATAATGGTTAAAGTGCATGTATAGAATGAGAACACTCCTGTATTGGAACTGTAAGGAAGTAAAGGCTTTACTCTCATTTTATGGTTCTCAAAGTACATTTTTAGATGAAATTGCTTCACTTGTCTTGACATGTCATTTTATTATGCCCATTGCGATTTGTTATTATGTAATGCTAGCAATTTTGCGTCTGCTGTATATTTTTTTAACCTTTTGAGGGATGTTCATGAAACTTAAGTAAAATGTTTATCAGACTGAAACAGGGTGCAGAACCCAGGATTCATATATACCAACTTCAAGGTCAAGGTTACAGCTAAAGAAGAAAGTTTTAAAAGAATTTTCATGTCTGCTCTTTACCTTTAGCAGTTTTATAGAAATATTGATGAATTTTTGGTCAATTGTTAACTCATTGAGACATTTAAAAAAAAAATGCAGACCCCAAATTACAGACACCCCAGTTTGAAGCTAAGGTTTTACACCCCAGTTTGAAGTTCAAGTTCCATTTTAAGGTCAAAGTTTTGAGCCAACAAATCAGTGTCTGCTGTCTATCTTTTAGTCATTTAGAAGAATGTTCATGATACTGGCCTAAGTCTGTGTTATTGAGATGTCATGCATCATCAACATTTTGGAGACCCATTTCAGGGTCAAGGTTACTAATAAAGGTCAAAGGATTGAGGTGTCATATTTGTGGCTACTGTTTTAATTTTGAAGCAAATGATACTTTGGATGTGGAGAACTCGGGTTTTAGGGGTAAAAGTCACAGCTCAATGTTTAATCTTTTTGTATCAGCTTCATATCTTTTGAACTAGTTGAGGGATATAAATGGTACTTTAGTAATAAGTTCATCTCATTAAGACATCATGAAGAACCCACTCATGAAGAACCCACTCATGAAGAACCCACTCATGAAGAACCCATTTGAAATGGTTGCTTTTCCCTACAACCATCCATCTTCTCATAATTTTCATGACTGTTCTATAAACCAATAGATGTTCATGATACTTTGGTCAAATATTTATCTCACAGTGTTGATGTGCAGAGCTCTAACTTCATATCCACCGCTTGCAGGTCAAGATCACCATTAAAGTTCAAAAATTTGAGCCAGCAATTCTGTTTCAATTGTTTCTTTTGAATTGCTAAAGAGATTATAGTTAAGATGCTTGTTTCACGGGCAGCATGCAGAACTCACATTCAAGGCAAATTGAAGTTGCACAGTTTCAGAGAATTCATGTTTCAGACAAATTGATTGTTTTGGCCTAAAAACCCCAATTGAAATGATTTTTCAGTTTTGTTTTCTCAAACAAAAATCCATTCAGGTATTTATTTGACATCACTTTTTTGTACTTTTGAAAAATTAGTGATAAAGAAGCAAATTCAAAATGAAGACAAAAAATAATGATTTTTTCCCATCTTTCAGTTTGGAAAAAAATATATCTAGCTTTTGGCATGTCTCTTTTTTGCAGAAGTAACTTTATAGATGACAAAAACCTGTATTTATATGCTTTTGACTTTTTAAAAGTAGTTTCTAAGTATACCTAAGTGGCTTTGAGAACTATATTATGTTGAAGTTTAGCCTTATGGCACTGGTACTGTTATATATTGAACAATTAAACACTATGAAGCAAAGATCTAGTTCTGGCAAGTGCTTGCTTTCTAAAGCTTTGCAGATCTTTTCTTCAGTTGTGCAGTGCTGAAATTATTTTGAATATTCTTAACTTTATGGTCTTTTATTTTCACTGAAAACTTCACAATTCCTTTTGCTTATTTTTCTAGTTTACATATATATATACAGTATATTATGCATGAAATTACTATAAAATTATTTTTTTACTGCATTTTTGTACAAAGAAAATACAAGACAAGTTTGCAGTTCAAAAGCTCTCAGTCCCCAAGAATATTCAAACTGATTTCAAGTTTTAGTTTTAGACAATACATTCTAAATTAGGCATTAAGTGAAATATAGTCTGGAATGCCGAATGAAACAAGAGAATGCCACACTAGATGAGAGCATATTTTACAAAGTTTCTGTGTGTTTTTCTATATTTTTCACACTAGCTGACCTACGGCCGTACATTTTGTGATGTAAGTAATAGGTATGATAAGCATGTGGCTTTGATCCCAGGCATGTTTTGCATGTACATGCATGTTCACACAGACAAAAATGCATGATTTTTTTTTATCTTTATATTTTTCACATTTATCATTTTCACATTCTGGTTTGGCTTATATTTTTTAATTTAAAATAAGATAAAAACTTTCTCTTTAGTTATCAGTGGTTTATTAATGGACAGTGGATTATCTCCCTGTAAACATGAAGAGACATCATATGCAGACAACAGTTCTTAATTTAAAATATTTTAGTTCAAATTATGTATGATATTTAGTCAGATTTTCCAGACAAGTAATATAAGATTTTTATTAAAATAAATTTCTATTTTATTAGTTATATATTAGATATTTATATAAATTCTTTATATACATATTTATATCAGATTCTTTATATACAATTTATATCAGATTCTTTATATACATATTTATGTCAGATTCTTTATATTATATATTTATGTCAGATTCTTTATATACATATTTATGTCAGATTCTTTATATACATATTTATGTCAGATTTTTTATTTGCATATTTATGTCAGATTGTTTATATACATATTTATGTCAGATTCTTTATATACATATTGATATCAGATTCTTTATATGCATATTTATGTCAGATTGTTTATATACATATTTATGTCAGATTCTTTATATATATATTTATATCAGATTCTTTATATACATATTTATGTCAGATTCTTTATATACTTATTTATGTCAGATTCTTCATATAAATATATCTGTTTTATTTTTAAATCAATATATCAGTTTCTTTATATCAGTATATCATATATTTTATATTAGTATATCAGATTCTTTATATCAGTACTTTAAATGATATAAAATGTATATCGGATTCTTTGTAACAATAAATCAGATTCTTTATCATTATATAAACTTATCTATTAACGCTTAAAGCAGTCCTATACTTTGGCAACAAAATTTCTGTCAGCTGTCTTTTTAGATAGTTGCGTAAGTTTTAGTTGACTTTGTTTTATTAGTACCTTCTCCTTTCCAACTTCATCTATTCAATGCTTTATTTCTTTTGAATTATAAAAAATTATATCTCAAAAGCAGCTGGCATCTGTTATTTCAAGTGTTTTCTTGTTCTTGTTCATGTTTTGTGTAAAACAAAATTATATACTACATCCCAATCTATTATATAACATCCCAAAATAAGCCTGTTTTCCTTGTCAAAAATCTTCTTTACATTATTCTTAATATTCAATACAGTTTAACTTTTATCAATATTGTAGCTGAAAATTATTCTGTTTCACAGAATAAAGGATTATCTTGGATATTGTTGTGTGCGCTTTTACAATAACCAGCTGATTGTGTAAGATTGTGTGTCTGTTTCCCCCCTAAAGGACATGTCTTAATATCAAAATATCATTTGTTTGTGGGTTTGTATGATTGTATCTTATAATTCAAACTAAAATTGTATGAAACCTTACAAAACAATAGACAGGTGCTTAATATTGGATACAATATTTTTATTTTTATTTAGCTCAACTTTTTTCCCCAAAGAATAGAGAGAGCTATTGTACTCATCCGGGCATTGGTGTTGGGTTGGTATCACAATCATACTAAATTGATTAAGTTTTTTTTGTGCAAGTTGGTACCTCAAAATCTACTGTATATAATGGGTTGAAACTCCACATAGTTATTTTCTCTGATTATCATATTTTATGGGCACAGGTTCCATTACCCTAAGTTATATTTGCCAGAGTTATGCCCCTTTTCATACTGACAAGTACTGAGAGCTGTATTATGGACAGCTCTTGTTTGTTTATCCATAAAAGCAAGCCTTGTCAGAGGTGAATAGATCTGCCTTTTGCCCTTATGATAAACGCAGTTATGGCTCTTGTTTGCCATAAATTGTGTATAGTCATTGTGTATGTTTACTTTATTTCTAGTATTCAATGTTAAGAATCATTGAGACACATAATTATTCTCAATAGATTTACATGAAATTAGTTCCAACACAGTTAACTTAAGACCCTTTTTTTAGAGGATCTTTGTCAATGGACAGAAATATTGTCATACTGTAAACAGTAAAGCTTTATTTTTGGTGTTTCTTTCCTATTATAACAATGTTTCCTATTTTTCAATAAAATAAAGTGTTTATATTAGTTCATGTGACTATTAATAGCTTTTACAATGTAGTTTGTCTGGGTCTAAATGAGATTTTCTAGTTTACTTTACTCTAGCTTATTTCTTTACTCTAGTTAACTTATCTACTGACTTAAAAGTTTCTTTGTTGATTTTGACTATTGCTTATTGCTTTTAGTTTACTTGACTCTTGCTTCTAGTTTACATTATTATTGACTTTTCAATGAAACTCCTAGTTTACCTGACTATTTAATTTAGCATCTTATAAATAAGCACTTGGCAAAACATATAAAATATAGCTTTTAGTATATTTGACTATTAAAATCGAAAAATGCCATTATTTTCCTTGTCTGTGAAGACAGCTTTTAGCTTTAAAAGCTATTAGCCTATAAATAAAAGTTTCTTGTAGACTGAACTATTGAATTAAGCTTTTTGTTTATATGATAAAGTTGATAAAGTTTGGTTAGCTACACTTTTCAAACAACAGAGCTAGTGTCATGACCCACTTCTTGGAATTACCTTTTATATGCCTGTTTAAAAAAACTTGACATATAAAAGGATTGTCTCTGTTTTTGAGGTCATTGATTTGTGGTCACTAGGTCAAGGTCAAAGTGACACATGAAAATACTTGTCCAATTATATAAAAGCATATAACCAGTCCTAGGTTCATTATTTTGTTGTTATTATTTATTTTGTTGTTATTATGTATGATAAGTATTTATATTACACATGACTATTATAAAATGTTTTTATGTAGGTGCATATTATGCCACTGTGACAGCAAATTAAGTGGAGGCATATCAGTAACCTATATGGACACTTTTTTGTGAAAAGTTCATTCTTTTTCCAAGAGTATCTGATTTAATATACTATTCAGTAAATAATATTTGTTTAAGTGATTGTTGAATAAAACCTCTTAGTGGATCTGATGGTTGAATAAAACCTCTTAGTGGATCTGATGGTTGAATAAAACCTCTTAGTGGATCTGATGGTTGAATAAAACCTTTTAGTGGATCTGATGGTTGAATAAAACCTCTTAGTGGATCTGATGGTTGAATAAAACCTCTTAGTGGATCTGATGGTTGAATAAAACCTCTTAGTGGATCTGATAGTTGAATAAAACCTCTAAGTGGATCTGATGGTTGAATAAAACCTCTTAGTGGATCTGATGGTTGAATAAAACCTCTTAGTGGATCTGATGGTTGAATAAAACCTCTTAGTGGATCTGATGGTTGAATAAAACCTCTTAGTGGATCTGATGGTTGGATAAAACCTCTAAGTGGATCTGATGGTTGAATAAAACCTCTTAGTGGATCTGATGGTTGAATAAAACCTCTTAGTGGATCTGATGGTTGAATAAAATCTCTAAGTGGATTTGATGGTTGAATAAAACCTTAGTGGATCTGATGGTTGAATAAAACCTCAAAGTGGATTTGATGTTTGAATAAAAACTCGAAGAATGTCTGATTGCTGAATGAAACTTATTGTTAATAAAGCACATAGTTTAATTGTAGTGAAATTTTATTAAAACTTAAGGACAACCAAAATAATGTTTAAAGATTTTCCATTTTACCTTTATTCAGTGGGTCACTTGTATTCCTAAAGTTGATGAGCAAGGAAAGTAAAGAGATGTCTTCATTACCAATCTGGCTTCTGTTTGTATTTATTGCCTTCTTTGGTAGTCTATCATTTTGTTGTTTTATGTATTTTCTATTTGATGTATTGGGGTAAACAGACCTATAGAGAATAATTGTCTATTGCCAGACTCTTGGTTTTTCTGAACTGGGAATTCAGAGAGAAAAAAATTAATTTGACTACGAAGACACTGGTATTATGTTGATATTTCCATTTTATTGCATATATAATCTTAGATTACCTTTTGGGGTTATTTAGAGGATTACATGTGTATGTAACTATATGGTTCTCAGATATGATTGACTATTAAACAATTAATGTTATATATGGTACAATTTGGCTATCCAGGCATATAATTATCTAAACTCAGTAGCTGAAATAAGCATTCTAGTCACCAAGTAAGCCTTTAATCATAGTTTGGTTTAAACTTTTAGTTAATATTTTGATTTCTAGTTCTTTGGCATTTATTTAACTGCTTTGGCTTTTACTTTGCTGCTTTAAGTCTTTGCCACTAGTATAGAGCCTGAGGCCAACTGCATAGATCCTTCACATCCATGCAGTCTGACCATGCTGTAACATTAGATTTCCCCAAAATTGATAATGAACAGTGCCAAAAATGAAAACTGGACATGTCCATTTAAAATTCATCAGGTTTAAGGAAAATCATTGGAGAACTGCTTACTTTAATAGTGGTTTTGGGAACAGTATTTGTGCTGGACAGTGATGAAGAGTTTTCTCTTTAATTGCACTACATTAAAAGATCAGTGGCATGGCTCCCTGTATGTCATGTAAGCCATAGCCAACACAATTTTCAGCAAAGTTGAAAAATATAAGTCATTTATTTGTTAAACCTGCAATTTCTCAAAATCTCTTGAACATTATGTTGTAATAAAGATATGCCAAAATGTATTTTTGACAATCAAGAGCAAGACAAAATTATTGAAGATGTATGATCCATTACCTCTCCCCTCCACCCCTCCCCCCTCTCACATAGAGGTAATTCAAATTTCACCCTTATAATTTTAAAGAAAAATACCAACAAAAAACATATGCTAGTATCCCCAGTCTTTGTATTGGTTGATGTTTAAATGATGCTAAGTTACATGAAGTTTATAAATTGAAACAATGAATGGTTATATAATGTGCTGTGCCAAAGCTCAAACTTACAATTCCAAGATGTAGAGGCAGACACCTTCATGGTAAGGTAGATACTTCTCTCTAACTACCCATATATTTGGTATATCACTATTATTGCAACAGTTTTGTAGCAATATGTAAATTAAACAGCCAGTCTGTTTTGGCTGGCATTGTTACTGTTGGATTTTTATTGTAAGTTCGGGGGAAATTTTGGAAGTTGGTTTGATCAAAATCAATAATACAATCAGAGTATGAGGCATCGGTTGCAGAATACAGCACACACTCTTCCAACGATTGATGATCCATGGGGGGATATGATATTTAGATAAGACTTTTTGTTCGAGAGCTGATTATAAATTAAATTGTGCATGGAGATATCAGAGAAAAATGTCCCCTGTGATAAGAATCAGGCCACATCAAGTATAAATCTTTTTACATAAACAATGTTATTCTGGTAGGATAATTAATTTAGAATTCTGCTTTGAAGGTTATAAAAAAGAAGCATTTAATTTACAGGAATTTTCAATGCTTTCATGGGTTACATTTTAAGATAGTAACAGGAACCATTTTATGAAAGTATTTTGTCTTTGCAATAAACATCTTGGAAACAGCGTTTTTTATAGAAAATATTGCTTAATGCGGTGAGTTCTTGGAGGCAGACTAATGATTCAAATTAAAAATATAATGGTTAATATCATTTCATGTTAAATGTTGTATGCAGCGCTTAAGCCGGTGCCAAGGGGCATGGACTTGCACCATGAACAGACTAAATCAAACAGTCTCAGCCTGCAACATTTTCAATTTTGTCATTTGTTCGTTCTTTAAGGATTCTTTTTTCTCTCTATTTTATACATATGAAATAATTATTATTTGTATTTTTTTCCCCTCTTTAAACTATTTTGATGTTAATGATAAATCTTGAAGTCACTTTAGTAAATTCATTGATGACTGTGTGGCTTCTGCCTGGACAATATTAAGAGCCAAACTATTGCAATCTTCACTTTATTATGTGTTTTCATGGGGTGTCCGTGGCCAAGTGGTTAAAGTCGTTGACTTCAAACCTCTTATCACTTTAGGTTGAAAAACAAATCTTGTCCTGATATGTCAAAAACCTCAGTAAAGTAATTCTTTATTCTGTTTGTCATAAGTTTTGTTTATGTACAAAACAAATGTTTCCATGAACTAATAAAAGGTAGTGAAATATTTGTCATCAAGTGTCTTCTTCACTAAATATGTTTTTTCTGCTAGCAATTAGTTATTTTAGAGGGTTGTTATGATGGCTTAATGGCTCGTCTACTTGTAGATTTACTCTCTTTTATGCTTCAACACTCGTGTCAATATATCACAATCTATCAGCTCATACTTTACAATTATGGTGGAAAAAGCTTTTAACATCATCATATAATGTCACTGTATAATGTTATTTAAGGAATCATATCTTGACAAAAGTTTTTATGTAGGTGGAAACAGTAGTTTAGTAAGTACAAAGAAATTACAGAAAATAGAAATTGCTGATTCGGCTTTTTACAGGGGAGGAGTGTTTTGTTTACACCAAATTAGATGAATTTTTAAAACAGGAGAGTTGAGTGTTATTGCCTGCGATGGTTTGTTGTTGAAAGTTGTGAGTTACAGAATCGCTCAGATATTCTTAGGTTTATCGATTATTGGTAGATGCCTTTACAAATCTCCTGACTATTTAATGTATTTGATTACGAGTCAGAAATTTGGATGATTTTATCTTCCTTAGCTACATTGCCCTAAAATTGTCACCTTTTGTTGTTGTTGTTGTTGTTTTTTGTTTAAATTGTAGAAATATTGCTCATTGTTAATTTTATCTAATTTCCTGGCTTTCACCATTGTAATAATTCAGACCATACCTCTGAGTCAGACCTTTGTCAAAGACCACCTCTGAATTAAGACCAAACATATAGGAGCCGTGTCATGACAAAACTAACATAGTGGGTTTGCGACCAGCATTGATCCAGACCAGCCTGCACATCCACACAGTCTGATCAGGATCCATGCTGTTCGCTATCAGTTTCTCTACTTGCTATAGGGTTTGTAAGCGAACAGCATGGATCCTGATCAGACTGCGCGGATGTGCAGGCTGGTCTGGATCCATGCTGGTCGCAAACGCACTATGTTGGTTTTGTCATGACGCGGCTCATATAGAGAAGCTTCCATGGGGGCTAGTATTATACTTTCCTTTTCATGAAACAATAAATATTAAGAGACTATAATATAAATCACCATGGCATCATACACCTTTTTCTTTATTTCAGTACATTATTTTTTTATAGACAGGTATATACTATACAATTGAACACCTCTGTTGCTTAGATGACTATTAAAAACAAAACACCTATAGGTTGTATTGATTAAAACCAGTTGATAAAGTACCGCCCAGTGAGCTCAGTTGGACTGTGTATCCAGGGACCCAAGTTTGATTATGACCGGTGCAAGTCACTTTTGTAAATCCTTTCTACTGTCATTTGCTCTGGCATGTACAGAAGTGATATATGTATCAGTTCCTTGGAAACATGAAGGCACTAGTACTGGTAAACTGCTTGACATCCTGCCCAGGAACGATACAGTGTTCTTGTAAATTCAAAGTGGCTTAGTCAGCCTTTGATACAAAAACCACCAGCATCAGTTGTTAAATGTTTACAATGTTTCTATATATAGTGTCTAAGATATGCATTTTATCCCCTAAAGGGAGACTGTTGAGACATTTTTGACAAATTAAAGGTGATTCTTTGATTGGTAGATAAAAGACCTAAATGATTCATAGTGTGACTAAATAAACAGGAGATATTGTAGCTTGTATTAGGTTATGGTGTTGAAATGTGGCACTAATGCTGCTACAATTTGTTCTATGTGACAACCGAATGTATCAAAAGTTCTTGAATTTTCCTAAAATAGTATAAGTTCATAAGTTGCTAACCTATACCAAGTGAGAAATGGCTGATATAGACATAATTTGTAATGACAAATTGTATTTCAGATATTTTGTTTAATTTAGCTTCTGATTTGTTTGCAAACTGTGTATGTTGTTTTCCCTATCTTTTGCTTTTACTTACACTGTTTTTGTTTTCAGATTAAACAAAGGTTATTTAGAATATATAATCTGTAATATAAGGATATATCCTAATTTTCTTGCTACAATGTCAATGGCCATGGGCACTGAGACAAAAAATTCTTGCTATTTATTACAGTTTACTTTGCAATGTTGTGAACATTATTGTGTACTTTTGCTGTATACAATTTTGGTAAAGGTTAATTTTAGGAAACAAGAACTATTTTGTCTTCACTGACAATGTTGTCTTGTTTTTGGCATCTAATTTTCCAGTACATCACATTTAACTAAACCTCGTAATACCTTAACACAACTCTATTGATCAACATATCAGTCCCAATATTCCCCTGGGACTCTGTTTTTCTCCGCTAAGATCTTTCCAAGTGACAAACATGGAGAGGCGATTAGAAAATATTCTGATGGTAAATTATCGGTATGATGCAAATATTTGTGTTCTCCGACAAGCTTGCCTTTAATGAATTACTTTTCCTTAGCCTGGAGAAATTACGAAAGATTAGTTTTCAATCTTAAACACTAAAGATAAAAAATTTGATACTTCTATGAAGAGATTCCATCAGAATGTTGTGTTGTTAATATAATTTTACAGAAAGCTTTGTACTTGAATATAAAGTTTAATGTGAGCGATATGGCAAAGTATTAAAAATGCTTAGATGACAATTTAATGAAGGAGTGACTTCTAGTTATGAATTGTAATAATTTTGTATATTGGTGGCAGTCTTTGTTCCCATTTTAGAAATGTTGGTCCTCAGTTGCTTTGTATGCCAGTATTGTATTCTCAGTCTTGCGGATGTGAATGAGATATTATATGTGAGAAGACAAGAGATGGAAAAAATGAGTGTCAATGGAGATTCTGGTTATCATCAAAACTGAATTGGTTGATACAAATTGAAATGAACTGTAATAAAAGATCAGTCTGTGATATTGGTTGAGGTTAAGTTTAGCTTGATAAGTATTACGTTCATTTGCATGCAGCCTTATAAGGCAAAAATTATCCCTAAGCTTCTCCATTACTAACCCCTGTAATTCATTCCTTTGCCATCACCCCATGCCCTTGACCCTACCCCATTGTTGTAAAATCATTTATTGTGTTTATACGTATGTATAAATAACGTGAGACAATTACTTTACATTGAACACTCGAAGTTCCCAGTACAAAGAATGATTTAGGAGAAATATCTAATGTTTCCTAATGGTACAGACAAATTTCTCTCATTCACTTTTTATCACAGACAATTACTTTGACTTATATATTTGCAAAATTATAGATCTTAGTTGTAAGAGAGGATAAATGGAGAAAGAAATGTATTCTCTTGTTTCTTTTTTTTTCAGATCGACATAAAGGTTGACGGTATATCTCGAGCTAAAGGTTCTACAATGGGCGAGTTTACGAAGTTGTCTTCGAATATTCTGTTTGTGGGAGGTAGCCCAAACCCTCGGGAACTCCTCGGATCAAATGTCAGGTCAAACTTCAGGGGATGTATGAAAAAGGTACTAGTATATGAGCCGCATCATGACAAAACCAACATAATGAGTTTGCAACCAGCATGGTCACACTGGCATCGCGATCGTCAGATCCAGTGTTCGCTATAAGTTCTCTACGTAATAGGGTTGGTCTGGATCATGCGTCGCAAAAACTAGTGGTGTGTGAACGCTCATAGTGATGTGCAAGGTGTAACACTGAGTAACCAGTTAATACAATATTATTTTATTGTACTTGTATTACAGTAACCTTTAGAGTTGTTCTTGACCAATTGAATGATGTCCTATGTAGAAACATATTCATAACTGAAATAGAGCTCAAACCTGTGACCATATGATAGCGTTCACACCTTAGCCACTGGGCAACTGCTGCTCAATTAACAGGTTAACTGTAATTGTTCACCATTTAAAGTTAGTTACAAAGTTACTTACAAGTGGTGCTTTGGAAAAACTTAGTAAACATTTCTCCTCTGTGTTACGACAGGTTCTGTAAAACAGACACACCTTTTATCTTAAGAAATTGCTGTTTTCCAAAAATGGTGCTAAAATTTTCAATTTGTTGGTTGTTGCAATAATTTGCTTTGGATTCAATTTCACCTGATTTCCCAATTAAAAATATTTGCACTTTGACAGACCTTGAGCCTTCCAAACATGGTTTAGTTGAATGCTTTTTTTGTACTAAATGAACTTCATAAATTGTAACAGTGTGTAGGTTTTAATGAGTTTCAGCAAAAAAATCTTAACTTTAAAACTAAGAGAAAACTAATTTTCTAGTTTCCCCAGCTAAGATATCATAAAAACTAAAGTGAAAACCTTCAATTCCATGTGTAATTACAAAATTTGACAGCATAATTGGCAAAAAGAATAGAAATGATGATAGTTTTTTTTCCTCCTCTTCACAATTTGCTTCTAACATGCTCTTTATCAGAATGAACCATTCATTGTATAGTTTTTTGTTTCAAGAACATTTTGATTATGATTTTGTGTTTTTTTTTAAATAACCACTTTCATAAAGCAAGTTTTTTAGTATTTTTGTTAATTTTTTCTTTTTTATTGATGTCAGGTATAATTTTTAACACATGTTTGTGTAATTGCACTTTCATGCAATGTTCCTTATTTAAGTAAAAAAATAGTCTATGAAATGCTGAATACTTGAATTTATCTTCATTCACCAATACAATTTTCAAATTTGTTGGAAGTTTTTTTAGGAGAAAGTGAACTTTTCACTCTATGAATTACATGCCCAAATTCACTAGTCATGTATTGTTTTCTCTTCTCATTTTCATATACAGAGAACATTTCTCCCAAGTAATTCAAATATTGCATAAAGCTGACTGGATGAAGTTTAATAAATATAAGTACAAATTGTCTTGCATGTAAATAAAAAAAAATCTTACATTACTTCCCTTTTATGATGTGATGTTACACCAAGGTTATAATAAATTACAAAGTTGAATCCAAGGAAGTTAACAAAATAATGTTACCTACCTTGTATCCATATAAAAATCTACATGGGACATGTAAGAAAGTTGACTAGGTGTAGATGCAGCTTAAAATTTGATATATTAAGTGACAAAAATAAATTAGTTCCCTTGTTACTAAGGCTATGAAGGTAAAGTTTAATATCTTGTTGTTCAGGTGAGTAAACAGTTTCAAAGAAAAGTTGTTATTCAGTTAACTATTATCTATACAGCTTCAAAACTATGATTATCTCCCTTGTTATTCAGTTAACTATTATATACAGCTTCAAAACCATGATTATCTCCCTTGTTATTCAGTTAACTATTATATACAACTTCAAAACTATGATTATCTCCCTTGTTATTCTGTAAACTATTATATACAGCTTCAAAACTATGATTATCTCCCTTGTTATTCAGATTACTATTATATACGGCTTCATAACTATGATTATCTGCCTTGTTATTCAGTTAACTAATATATCATCTTCAAAACTATGATTATCTCCCTTGTTATTCAGTTAACTATTATATCATCTTCAAAACTATGATTATCTCCTTTGTTATTCAGTTAACTATTATATACAGCTTCAAAACTATGATTATCTCCCTTGTTTTTCAAATAACTTATATACAGCTTCAAAACTATAATTATCTCCTTGTTATTCTGTTAACTATTGTATACAGCTTCAAAACTATGATTATCTCCCTTGTTATTCAGTTAACTATTATATACAGCTTCAAAACTATGTTTATCTCCCTTGTTATTCAGTTAACTATTATATACAGCTTCAAAACTATGATTATCTCCCTTGTTATTCAGTTAACTATTATATACAGCTTCAAAACTATGATGATCTCCCTTGTTATTCAGTTAACTATTTTATACAGCTTCAAAACTATGATTATCTCCCTTGTTATTCAGTTAACTATTATATACAGCTTCAAAACTATGATGATCTCCCTTGTTATTCAGTTAACTATTTTATACAGCTTCAAAACTATGATTATCTCCCTTGTTATTCAGTTCACTATTAATTACAGCTTCAAAACTATGATGATCTCCCTTGTTATTCAGTTAACTATTATACACAGCTTCAAAACTATGATTATCTCCCTTGTTATTCAGTTAACTATTATACACAGCTTCAAAACTATGATTATCTCCCTTGTTATTCAGTTAACTATTAATTACAGCTTCAAAACTATGATTATCTCCCTTGTTATTCAGTTAACTTTTATATACTGAGCTTCAAAAATATGTTTTTCTCCCTTGTTATTCAGTTAACTATTATATGCAGCTTTAAAACTATGATTATCTCCCTTGTTATTCAGTTAACTATTATATACAGCTTCAAAAACTATGATTATCTCCCTTGTTATTCAGTTAACTATTATATACAGCTTTAAAACTATGATTATCTCCCTTGTCATTCAGTTAACTATTATAAACAGCTTCAAAACTATGATTATCTCCCTTGTTATTCAGTTCACTATTAATTACAGCTTCAAAACTATGATGATCTCCCTTGTTATTCAGTTCACTATTATACACAGCTTCAAAACTATGATTATCTCCCTTGTTATTCAGTTAACTATTATACACAGCTTCAAAACTATGATGATCTCCCTTGTTATTCAGTTAACTATTATATACAGCTTCAAAACTATGATTATCTCCCTTGTTATTCAGTTCACTATTAGTTACAGCTTCAAAACTATGATTATCTCCCTTGTTATTCAGTTAACTATTATACACAGCTTCAAAACTATGATGATCTCCCTTGTTATTCAGACAGCCTCAAAACTATGTTTATCTCCCTTGTTATTCAGACAGCTTCAAAACTATTATTATCTCCCTTGCTATTCAGTTAACTATTATATACAGCTTCAAAACTATGATTATCTCCCTTGTTATTCAGTTAACTATTAATTACAGCTTCAAAACTATGATTATCTCCCTTGTTATTCAGTTAACTATTTTATACAGCTTCAAAACTATGATTATCTCCCTTGCTATTCATATAACTATTATATACAGCTTCAAAACTATGATTATCTCCCTTGTTATTCAGTTAACTATTAATTACAGCTTCAAAACTATGATTATCTCCCTTGTTATTCAGTTAACTATTATAAACAGCTTCAAAACTATGATTATCTCCCTTGTTATTCAGTTAACTATTATATACAGCTTTAAAACTATGATTATCTTCCTTTTGTTATTCAGTTAACTATTTTATACAACTTCAAAACTATGATTATCTCACTTGTTATTCATTTAACTATTATATACAGCTTCAAAACTATGATGATCTCCCTTGTTATTCAGTTAACTATTAATTACAGCTTCAAAACTATGATTATCTCCCTTGTTATTCAGTTAACTATTATAAACAGCTTCAAAACTATGATTATCTCCCTTGTTATTCAGTTAACTATTATATGCAGCTTCTAAACTATGATTATCTCACTTGTTATTCAGGTTGAGTACAAAGCTGACAGTGTAAACCTCCAACTCGTTGAGATGGCAAACAAAGACAATAACCTTATCTCAGTGGTAGGAGATGTTGTCTTTGGTAAATGTGAGGAGGTGATTGACTCCCAGCCAGTAACATACACCACTCCAGACTCTTTCATTGCACTGCCACGATGGGATGTGAAAAAGAACAGTGGGACAATATCTTTCCAGTTTCGAACAACTGAACCAAATGGTTTAGTCATGTATAACAGTGGCACATATGGCTCTAGTAATTTTGATTTCTTTGCTTTGGAAATTATTGACAGTTATTTCTATCTGGTCATGGATTTAGGGACAGGAGCAATAAAAGAAAAAGTGTCTTGGACAGCCGTGGATGATGGGGCACCACATAATGTACACTTCAGATACCAGGGAAAAACTGGGTTTATTCGAGTAGATGCCCATGAAACAGATTATTCCACTCCAGGAATGGGGAAACAATTAGATCTGGAAGACATGCTTTTCATTGGTGGATTAAATTTTGAAAGATACAATTCTTACAGATTGCCTAAAGAGTTGTGGTCAGGAATTCTAAAACATGGATTTGTTGGTTGTATACAAGACATGGTGATAAATGATGAGAAGGTAGATTTAATGACCGTTGCTAGGAAACAGTTACAGCGGGACATTAAAAGTGATTGTAAGAAGAGTGATGCCATGTGTTCAAGCCAGCCTTGTCTACATAGTGGCACGTGCACCGAGGGGTGGAACAGATTTGTCTGTGACTGTACTAACACTTCTTATAAAGGCAAAAACTGTAAAAATGGTATTGTATTTTTCTTGCTTTTATTTCTTTACACTTAATTATTTTTCCATTTTGAGGAAATGGATTTTTGCAATTATAATGTAAATATTTTTTGAAGTGAATACAGTTTGTTCTTCATTAAACATATTTGAGTTTTAATCATAATATTTGACCTCAGAATAGTTGTTTTTATAAATTGTTTAATTATTTAATGTTACTTTATATTTTATTAAATTCATTTCATTTTTTTCTACCTTGTATTTTGATGGGGCATGCAGTTTTTTATTTTTCTGAATGATACTTGGAGAAAATGGGCATATGAAGCTTGTAAAGAAATATAAAATTGATATGGTGATACTATGATAAAATTACATGTGTTGTTTGTTTTTCTATTGAAGCTGTTGCTACAATATCATTCAGTGAAGCCCAGTATGTAATGGTGACACTTCCACAAGAGTCGTACACTGAGGCGGAGGATATTTCTCTACGATTCCGAACTGTTAGATCTAGTGGTCTACTACTTGTAACATCTTCTTCAACCTCTGAAGATGCCATAGAGTTGTATCTAGAGAGAGGTGCATGTAAACTTTCCATCAGTCTTGGAAGAGGAACTAAGGTTGGTTATCTGTATACTATAAAAGTTATCTTTTAGGTATGTCGACTGTTTTATGAAGGTCAAATGTGATATGAAGGTCATCTGTTCTATGAAGGTCAACTGTTTTATAAAGGTCAACTGTTCTATGTAGGTCAACTGTTCTATGAAGGTCAACTGTTCTATGAAGGTCAACTGTTCTATGAAGGTCAAATGTTCTATAAAGGTCAACTGTTTTATAAAGGTCAAATGTTCTATAAAGGTCAACTGTTTTATAAAGGCCAACTGTTCTGTGAAGGTCAAATTTTCTATGAAGGTCAAATGTTCTATGAAGGTCAACTGTTCTGTGAAGGTCGACTGTTCTATGAATGTCAAATGTTCTATGAAGGTCAACTGTTATGTGAAGGTCAAATGTTCTATGATGGTCAACTGTTATGTGAAGGTCAAATGTTCTATGAAAGCGAACTGTTCTGTGAAGGTCAACCATTCTGTGAAGGTGAACTACTCTGTGAAGGTTAACTGTTATGTGAAGGTGGACTTATGGAATCTAAAGTAGCTTAATTGTAATATGAATAGGATCTAAGAAAGTTTTCTAGCTGTTTTAGTAAGGTGATCAAAGGTAGGTGAAATGTTAGGACAGCCAAAGTTGGAGGTTAATGCATGAAATATGTTGTATCCTTAACTATACTATATGAAAGATTTCATATTGTTAGAGGAATTGTTACTAAATTTACTGGGTTTTTTATTTCCAAAGTGAATACTTAGATTATATCTGCTATGAATGTTGTTCTGCCTAGAGATCTAAACTTTTATTGATCACGGTGTAAGTAAAGAATGAAAGCTTCTGGTTGAGATATACCCCTGATACTTTACCACATACAGATATTTGGTCTGTATGAAGTATTCCAGGAATAGGCGGGCAGTTTCTATTGTTTATCATAGACATTTATAGTAAATATTTAATGAGCATTGTACTTCAGTAACAAAGAGGAAGTTGGTTTTTTTATTATGCTTAGTGGTTAGATCTAACTCTTTAACTTCTGTTCCATCGAAGACAATTTTCATAATGAACCTAGCCAAAAGGCTGTTAAATTGAGTAATAAATGTGGTGGAAATTTTCATGGTCTCTCTTTAAATGAAGCCATTATCACATTGTTGGCGTAATCACTGTTATTGAAGACGTTAGCCTATCACGCTAGTACAGTCTAACGAACATAGAAAGGTCCATGCAAAAAACAGATCGATTTTTGGAAGTTTCGGTAATTTCGTTTACTTGGGTTCTTATTAAGAAATGCGTTAATGGAATCCATGCCTCAGAGATGTTATATATCAAAATTAATCATTTATCCTTTCCCCCTTTCTCAAGAAATTTCTGTGCTTTTCATCTTCATTGTCATTTCAAGGAGTTGCATTTTCATTTTAGCTGGCAGTAAATCACCGTACCATTTGTCTCCCAAATATTCCTAGAGAGACGGTATATAAGCTGATTAAAAATAATGGCCACATTTACAATGTTTGCTCAGTTCAGCTCTTACAAATTTGCAAAACTTGGCAACATGGAAGAATTGTTTTTGTTTCCCGAGCAAAGTCAATATAATATGAAGAGCAAAAATCATTCGTAAAATCAGAACATGTGAGATTATATCATGGTCTTTGGAGGGAAAGTGGTTTTCTGTTTACTTTGTTTTTTGGTATAATTTAGAGTTTTGGTTACACATAAAATCAAAATGATTTTTTCTAGATACATAATATGTTGACTTTCTAAACATTTTTGTTTAGAACCCATACCAGAGGACCTTGAGTACTTGTGGTTGTGTTTAAGTTGTACAATCATATACGGCTGATCTGATGACCTTAATATGTAAATTTAAGGGGTTTTTATGCTACTCAATAATTTTTTAAAGTTTAATTGTTGTCAGCTTTTAGCATCACTTTTCGAGGTAAAGTGATTGCAATGGTCTTCAACATGACATTATTGTTGTGTAGACATGTTATTTGGTACTTTTAGTTTCTTCTTTTTGGCCATTTTTAACTTAGGTGGTTCCAGTATTCCTACTTGAATACTGTATAATCACCCTTAGGATATGTTGCCTGCTTTTTATACGCCCGTTTGAAAAACGGGACGTATTATGGGAACGCCCCTGGCGGGCGGGCGGTCGGGCGGCGTCCAATTTTGTCCGGAGCATATCTCCTACATGTATGGAGGGATTTTAATGAAACTTCATAGAAATGTTCACCACTATGAGGAGCAGTGTCGCGCACATGAACCAGGTCTCTAGGTCAAAGGTCAAGGTCACACTTAGAGGTCATTGAAAAATGCTTGTCCGGAGCAAAACTTCCACATGTATAGAGGGATTTCAATATTACTTGGCACAAATGTTCACCATTGTGAGGCGGAGTGTCGCATGCAAGATTCAGGTCCTTGCGGCCAAAGTCAAGGTCACACATAGAGGTCAAAGTTCAGATAAAAATATGAAGATGTGTATATGGACCATTTAGTCATCATTTATTGAGGGATTGTAACACAAATGGTCATTATCAAGACTATGGCTGTGATACATATAATTTAGGTCAATATATACAAGGTTAAGGTCACTAAAGATGATGAAATATCCAGATTTTGTAAATAGAATTTAATCAAAGGGCAACAACAAAGTTATTACTTTGTTCATAAATGACTTTCACAATTACTCCCCTTGATCTACTTTCACTTTCAATTCTAAAAATAGAATTTAATCAAAGGGCATAAAATAATCCTCTTTCTTGGACTTGAGTATGTTCTAAAGAATGTAACATTTATTTACACATGTTTCATTCATTGGTCAAGATTCTTAACTGTGATAACTATGGTGTTCTGTAGACTTGGTATTTGTTCATAAAGATCATACAGTAATTACCTTATCAAATGTAAATACTTTCTCATAGAAATTTAATTATATTTTAATTTTCAAGTAAATATCAGTTCAGCTCATTCAAAGATTAAGAATTGTAATGAAATGTATTTCCCTAGAATAAAATCTTAAATCAGAATTTTTTAGTTATTAAATTACAATTACATGTACTTTTTATCTTCCCTACTGATTTGTTTTAAGGTTCATTTAACAACACAGTGCGGCTGTGCCAAGGATAAAAACTTGCTTGCTAGATAACACTTATCCATAATGCCCCCATCTCCATCTAAAGCTTTCGTAAACGGGCGTATTTTGTGACTATGGCACCCTTGTTAAATTTGTCTTTTGACGTCTTATCTGTGATATGCAGGCTTCATAGCCTCAGATCCCCTTTCAAAATTCCATTTTATTTAGTTCCGCCCATTGTTCTCTCGTTTAGGGCAAAAGCATTCTTTTACTTGGGGACCATACGCCGCTTTTCATGGAATGGCACTACTGTGTCACATTGAAGGTTCCATGATAACCGCCGTATGAACACATCTGCAGATGTTTCTAAATTCAAAATTTCACCATTTTCGTGTTAAATGTTGAATTCTGCTTACCCAGCCACAAATACAGTACGTTTTAGGTACAATAGAAGTACCTATAAAGCCCCACAATGTAGTATCAATACGGTATCATTTAAGTACCTGCTTCTAGTGTACTTTATTTATAAGCCGTTGCTAGGGGGCGTGGACGGTAACTTGCACTTTCCAGTACCGTCCATGAACAGGCTAAATCAAACCGAGCCTGCAACATTTTCAATTTTGTTGTGTTGGACTTTCTTTAGGGATTCTGTTTTTTCTCTATTAGATTGTATGAACTTGTACCCATGGATTGGATTTAAGGTTGATTGGATCAAGGTCAAGGTCACAGGGACTGGAAAAATGATTTCATAGTTTTGCAGTTTTTCAGTTATATCAAAACCACATTCAGAAATATCTCTTGGTGTTTTAGATATTTTAGCTTTATGAAGTTTTGTTTAGCAGCCAATAAGGTCAGACTTCAGGCAGGCCTGGTCTGGATCCTACTGAACAATTGTTAAAAGGGTTTACACATGAACATACAGATCAATAAGATCAATGTAACCAATCTAATTTTAGAAAAAAGGAAAAGTTTATTTCATGTTCAAAATTCAAATTAAGATTTCATGAACCAGTTGCTTGACTGTTCTTTGCTATTTCAGACAAATAAATCAAACAAGCATTCAAAACAAGAACATATTTCTTACTGTTTTTATTGCTAAATTTAAATAAAGCACACCAGTACAGCTGCCGACTTATTTCCTCTTGTATCCTATATTTCCCATGGGCAAGATTTGTTTGATTTATATAAACAAAGCAGCTGCAGAAGTTTTTAGAACAAAAAATGGCCAGTAATTGAAACTGGAAGACAACAGTGACCTTAGAGAATAAACCACATGGAACTTACAAAAAAGTCCACAAAGTGGAGAGTGAATTGTTTCCATTTGTTATAATTAGATAGAAGAACTTTTAATTGGTAAAGATAGATTTTAAGAAAAGCCAGGTTTGTAAAAGAGACTGTCTCTACAGGAAGGCCAAACGAAAGGGGAGCAGTGGCTTAGTGGTAACAAGGTGTCTGTCTTTCAAACCCTTGGATCATTGGTTTAAATATCCTTATATTGTACCCATAATATAGGTCTGCAGTATCCATATAGGTTTAAAGAGTTTAGAGGGTAAGAAAATCTACTTAAACTCTAGTTTTTAAGTTTCTGTAAATTAAAGCAACATGGCTCCACATTTATGATGATTTTCATGAAATTTTTTAAAATGTATTAAAAAGAAAAATATTGTCAAGTAAACAAAGAAAGTAATTTACACATTGCAAACAGCACTTAAGATCTACAAAAATCATCAAAAATAGGACTGAATATGCAATAGTGTTCTTTACTGTTAGTAAAACGGTATATATATGGTGATAGATTCCAGGCAATATCAGTCATTATGTGTAAATGTTTATTATTTCTTAAAAATAAATTGTGATTATTTATACTTTTCTTAAAATCTTAGTATATTTTTCTCAAAGTTAATTTTCTTGACATAATTATTCTGGCTCATTTGGAGGCATGCAACTTTAAGGATTAAACATACCGGTACACAGTTTCCTTACTATAAAGTATATAAATATTAAAATACAAAAATAACAATAAACTCCATTTTTAGGTAGCGCTTTGAATGATTAATGTGTGCTTTGAACATTCATTTAACACCACCTTTTCTTGTTGATCTTGTCCATCATTTTTTATAAGTAAATGAACATATATTTTTCTTTAACAGGACAGTGAAAACATTCATCAATAAATTATTGCCAGTTATCTCCTTTGATTTGCAGAAATTATTAAATTCAACCATAGTTTATATTCATAAGACATGTTATCTACAAATTGGTTATTCTTTATTTGAGCAACAGGTTTATCATAGAGCAGGTGCAAACATAGACTGGTTTGATTAAAATGTCTGTGTGATTTTACCAGGAACATTTCATGTTGAAAAAATGCTGAGATTGTATTTTTAAATATATGTTTTTGTCCTGTAAAGGGAGATTATACAGTTGTATGGTGGAAGGCATGTATTTTGCTATAGAAATTACTATAGACAATGATCATTTTGGACTCGGAGTCATGTTAACATTGTTGCCTGGTATCTTTTTACTTTTACTGTTAAGTCAGGAATCATTCTATGTCAACATTTACATATATATCCATACTGTTCTAAATATAGTAGTCTTTCCTACTTCTCTTACAAGTTCAATTAATTACTGCTTATAGTAATAACGAGGCTAGTCATCGTGAAATCCCTTTAACACTTAATGGCTGTAGTAAAACTAGCGTAAGTGATTTTTTACTGTCAAGGCTTAATTTACCGACTATGTGCTCTCATCAGGTTCTCCGCTACTTCTTTAGAGAAAATCGATAGAAGAGATATCGCAATGAATAAATCATTTGCTCGATGTTTGTTAACTTCCATCAAATATAAAGAAAATCTCACCAAATTAGACAAAAAAAGCAGTTCTTGAGGAAAACAATTTTGACTTCGCTCGGTTTTAATCTGTCTGGCATCTTAAGATTTGGTTCAGATAAACAGAATATTTTTTATAACCACTGAAAATAATCATATAATATAGTTTATTGCCTCTTAAATTGCCTCGCAATATTTCCAGAACCTCAAGATTGATTTTTTTCTTAGGTTTATTGTTTGCTTAATAAAACCTAATATAGAAAGTATACAAAATCTTTTTGAGATTAAGCATAGCTAAGACTAGTCTATGACCTTGGAAAAGACTTCAATCTAGGAAAAGACCTACCATGAAATTACTTTAGATTTTTCTTTGCCAAGCTGTCATTAGCGGCTAATTTCATTTTTCTAAAACAATACCAGCAAATTGGAAATCTGTCTATTGAAGAACAGGATGGAGGAATCTTACAACATGATACATTTCTTTGACATAATTTTATTACTTTTGTTTCTTTTATTTTACTAAGCATTTTTCAATGACCTTTACAAAGGTCATTAGACTGTTAAGTAAATTCTGCTGGATAAGCAGTTTACCATATTTAACAAAAGCTCTTCAGTATCAGAGAGGTGGTACATAATGAATGGTGTACTGTAGAAAGTTGGTCCATAGGGAGTAATAAAATTTAAGGTACTTGAAGAATACCTGAGGTGTGACTTTACTATAAAAGATGTATGATCTATTGAGAAGATGGTGATATGACGTTATTATGAGAAGAAGATTAGTACAGCACGCTGCTATGACTTAAACTGTACATGCTGATAATATTTACACGCAGCTTCCACACTTTCGGTTTGTTTTATAAGCTGTTTTTATTTTCTAAGTTGAAAAAAAAAGAAAGAAAAAAACGCAACAAATTTATGAAAATAAGTCAGTACTTGAAACTTAAAGCACATGTATTTATATGATTGATAAAATAAAATCTTTGCACATAAAAAAATAATAGTAAAAATGGAAACTTGAAAGGTCAACATGGTGAAATTAAAAATATTGCAGGATTGATGTGTCACATAGCCTGTTCATGGACTGTGCTGGCTTAAGCTGATTCAACTTTTTAATATGAAAATGTTTCTTTTTGAAAATCAAAGAATCACATGGAAGACACAATGTCAAATATTATGTATGTAGAATTAATCTAGAGTCTATGAATTTGATTAGATATGATAATGTGTATATTCTAACTGCAATACAGGCATTATAAACTGTACAGACTTATTAAGAAAGTTTTGCATCTTCGTCTCCATGGTACCCAGAGTATTTTTTTCATAAATGAGCACTTAGCAATAATTCTGCAATAAAACTATATTATGTGATTCATATATGAGAATTTATGAGAGAATTAAAACTTGTTTGTCTCTTATTATGGGGCGTCCGTGGCCGAGTGGTTAAGGTCGTTGACTTCAAACCACTTGCCCCTCACCGCTGTGGGTTCGAATCCTGACAGGGACTTTGGATTCTTTCATGTGAGGAAGCTATCCAGCTAGCTTACGGAACGTCGGTGGTTCTACTCAGGTGCCCGTTCGTGCCTGAAATAATGCACGGAAGGGCACCTGAGGTCTTCCTCCACCAGTAAAGCTGGAACGTCGCGATATGACCTATACTGTGTCGATGTGACGTAAAACCCAAAAACAAAAAAAAAAAAAAAAAAAGTCTCTTATTATGGTAGTTTTGTAGATGTATATAGATTGTTACTGCCGTTATGTGTATCTATACCATTTTATGATAGAAAGTATTCAGAAATTTTATGACGTCTGACAGGCTGAATAATGGGAATATGCTGCTTGATTTCTTTTCTAGACAAAATTGTAAGCATACAGGTCTTGCTTGACACTTTAGTATTTATCACTATTTCTTCTGAAAAAACATGTTTTGCTAGATTCAATTGTTTTCCCCTCTGACAATAAATTGTTTCTGCCAATATTAACCTATATCTTGTAAACAGTCATGTATATACTATTGTATGAAGGCATTATTAAATCTACTCTCTATTTTAGAAACAGAATATCAAATAAAAGCTTGCCTGTATTGTGGGTTTGTTAAATGGCTTTTATTGGTTTCTAGTAATGTGGGTTTTGTGAGTTTCCATATAAAGCTGGTTCCCTGTAATGTGGGATTCCATACTATTTTTGTTCCCTGTAATGACTATGTGGGATTCCATATTATTTTTGGTCCCTGAAATGTGGGTTTGCATATTATGGAGGTTCCCTGTAATTTTTGTGTAACAAACCAAAAGATCAGTTTGTTTTCTTTTTGATTTTTTTTTGTCTTTTTCATATTTTTTTGTAACTGTATAACACAATAATGTTCTAGTAAATTATATACCGTATTAGGATTCGAATCTGTGCTTTTTTTTTTACCTTTTAATTGAAATACTGAGAAAATTATGTGATTCCTTTATTCTAGATTGTCAATGGTTGTGTAAATCAAGGCAACAGATGGTATAATCTGTACTGAAAAGAAAATTAACTTGATGGTAATAAATATGATGTATTATTTTTGACAATTTCAGACATTATCTGTTGGACATGCATTAAATGATGACCAGTGGCATACAGTATATGTAAAGAGGAGAGGACAAAACATTGAGTTCAAGATTGATAACAGTCGTCCTGTCAAAGGTAATATCATTTATATCCTTGAATCTTTACATTTACTTAGACTCACCTTGATACATAATTAATTGCTTCATGAGGTTATTTTGAAGTGGACAATCTTGTCAAATGTATTTTAATGATATATTTACATGACTTTCTATATTTACATGATGTTCTATATTTACATGATGTTCTATATTTACATGATGTTCTATATTTACATGACTTTCTATATTTACATGATGTTCTATATTTACATGACTGTCTATATTTACATGATGTTCTATATTTACATGATGATATATATTTACATGACTTTCTATATTTACATGACTTTCTATATTTACATGATGTTCTATATTTACGTGATGTTCTATATTTACATGATGTTATATATTTACATGACTTTCTATATTTACATGATGTTCTATATTTACATGACTGTCTATATTTACATGATGTTCTATATTTACATGATGTTATATATTTACATGACTTTCTATATTTACATGATGTTCTATATTTACATGACTGTCTATATTTACATGATGTTCTATCTTTACATGATATTCTATATTTACATGACTGTCTATATTAACATGATGTTTTATATTTACAGATGTTTATCCTTATACTGCAACAACTGTACGAGTTAAGCAGATTGTTCTTGGATCTATGGGACCTTTATTATCGGGTATGCTTTAGTTTTATGTTATGCAAATCAATATTAAGAATGACATGTATATTCTGATGGTATTCATTTAAACTTAAACATATAACATCATAGAAAACAGAAAATATTCACATATAACCTTATACATGTCTTGGGATCATAATTGTTGGTCTCTATCCAAGCCCGATAAAACTCAGACATAAAATTTTACTGCCCTTTGTAAATACAGAAAATTTTTGTTGCAACATGACTGATGTTTGATCCTTTTTTTACCCCATTTATGTAACTCCCTTTTCATGTCCATCGCATCCTGAGTGCTTTCAGCACTTTGATTTACTTTGCCTTAGTTACACTACCTATCACTGAAAAAAGTGGGGGCGCTGTTGGCAGTCCAGACTTGTTTTGTAAATGCAAAAAAATTCAGTTAAGAACTTTTGACAGTTTACATGGCTGTGTGTAAAATGTTGTTTGCTACTTAACCCTCTCCTGTCAGCAAGGCTTTTTTACTTAACAATCAATTATACTTGGCTAGGTAACTTGTCAAAGTTAACTAAATATACTATAAAGTTTAATATATTTTCATTATTTTTATATCTTTAGATTTTACTGTACAATCGAGAACTTCACCACTACATTCGGGAGTGATCAACGGAGCGCAGAATGATGCTCCTATACGACAGCACCAGTGGTTTGTGGGGGCCATGCAGCAGTTTGTTTATAATGGCAATCATTTCTTTGACATGGCTAGGGAGAAGGATGCTGAATATATAGAGAATATAGACTTTACTGCCAGGTATACCAACTTTAAAATCTTATAAATGAAAGTGTTTGGTGAAGAAACATTAAAATGTTAAGTAAGGAAACATTAAAATCATATAAAGTCACTGCTAGAAAAACATACATTGAAATAAAGTCATATGTGTTTCTCTGATGCAAATAAAAGAAAACATTATATGATTATGTCCTTAACTTGTTAAACAAATATTACTATTACTGTATTATTAAGGACTTTGAAAGCTTAGCTGTCAATGCAAGGGAAACAATTATTCAAGATACTGTTTGATAAATAAAAAAAACACCATTTAAGTGGTAGAAGGAACATTTGCAGATGAAAATCATGTTGTATTTGAGATAATATACTATATTTTTACAAATTATTTATATTTATTTTGTTGCTTGTTGTTGTTTTTTTCAATGAAATACAGTAATTTGTCACAATGAATGAAATAGCAGTCCAAGTAATGTAAAGAATATCTTACTTATAAAACCCTTTAGTTCTTACTCTGCTGTAAAGATTTATTATTAATTTCTAAGGTCCAAACCCGTTTAAAGCATCACTTTAGAAATTTACTAATGACTTATATAAGGATTATTCATGTGTACTACATGTATATTATATCTGGTTTGTTTTAAAGGTTTGATGATGGAAGCCTTGAGGTTCACAATGCTGTCACGTTTGAATCTCAAGAAGCCTACGTCACCTTGCCACATCAACTTCTCAAATCAAACAGTCTTCATTTCTCCTTCAACTTCAAGTTTAAAACCAAACAACAGGATGGACTCATCATGTTTTCTGGCCTAGGACCTGACTTTTTAGCTATAGAATTATATCAGGGCTTTTTGAATTATATTTATGATATGGGTGGAGGCACTAAACGTATTTTGGTGAATACACCTGAAGCATTAAATGACAACAAATGGCATGAGGTATCACTGTTCCGTCCAGTGATGGACCAGCAACAGATACGTGTTGACAATAACCCGGCAACTGTTGAAGATATGAAGGGATATTCTGCCCGCCATTTTGATTTAAAGGGACCATTATACATCGGAGGTTTGATAAAGTCTCGATTCTTCTCCCTCTCGGTGAAGATATTATCGCGGAATGGATTTCTTGGATGTATCGCATCTTTTGATGTAAATGGGGAAAATATTGATATCCTGGAAGCGGCTACATCCGTGGAGCAGACGTCATCTCATTCCGTCATCCGAGGATGTTCAGGTATGTTGGACAGATATTTTGTCACCTTAGTGCAGTAATGGGTTAACTCCTTTTTAATTATGTACGAAGTTAACCCATTACTGCACTGAGAAAATGATTTATTCTCCATTTTTAACAGTATTAATATCATTATTACTGTAAATGTTCTATGAAATATTTTGTTTCATTATCATTCTCATGTGAAAAATGCTGTCCTATTTTGCTAGCTTTTTTAGAAAATCAGTGGATCTACTTGGTGACTTAATTGTGCTTGACATAGTGGATAGAGGAGCAAGCTTCTGGGGCTTTACACCAGAAGTAAAGTGTACAAGTTTCCACACTACCTTCAGAAAAGCTTTTCAGTTTTAATGAGTATTCGATCCTAATTTTGCTAAATATCTTTAATTTGCTTGTCCATTTTTCAATCTTGACAAAATCATTCATCATTTTCTGGAAAATTTCAAAATATGTACTGAGTTAAGTGGATAGGGAACAATGAGGACAATGATCAAAATGTGCTGGCTGAGCATGGTCTGCACTGGTCACATGGGTATATTTCATTGTGGCTAGAAGGCTAAGGTTTAAGTTATTTATGGTCTCTTATTGTTGTTAATGAACTTGTTCCATGAGTATATTGAAATATTCCTATCATATGAATGTTTCTGTAGACAAGCTGAGTACAGTGTTCTGGCAGGAATAAAGGCAGGCAATAAATTATGTGTCAAAATTTGAAACTTGAGAAATCAGCCTGGTATTTATCCAGATAGATTAGACTGACTGATATGACAGCTTGTGACAACATCTTGCATACAAATAAGATATACATACTGCTGACTCATACAATTCTATACCTTATAAAATCAGACTTGTGAAGTTGAGCATATTGACAGAAATATAAATGGCCAAAAAAATATAAACTACAGGGTGTTTCATAATATGTGTTCTTATTGTATCAAACTGTATTTTCCACACAGTTGTGTAAAAACAGAAAACCTTGTAGCAGACATAATAACATTTATTTTTGTACATAGAACATGCATAAACAAGTCATGGCAATAAATTGAATAATGTATCAGTCAACTTACAAATGTAAGGACAGATATTATGAAACACCCTGTATAAATGATACTATGAGAGATAAATACTTGATTTGTTGTCTAACTTGATACCATTTTATGATAATAGCCTCTTAGAATATAACATTGTCAAGTTAATCAACCAACTATAAAGTCTGGTCAGACTACACATATCTATGGTGGCAAAGGATTTACCTTTCTTAGCTCCAGCAGGTCAAGAGTTAAGTCAACAAGATCAAATATTCAGTCAAACATAAGAATAATTTTCTCAATTTAATGAAGTATAGTACACTGTTCCACTAAATGAGACACCAAAGAATGTTCCTTCAGTCTTAATTCTTTATTTCTACACATATAAACTAAATTTTTATTATTAACACTCTTCCACAAATAAGATAATTTTTGATCAAGTTAAAAAACTTCACAATCAAAGTCATGTCAAAGTCATGTGTTACATATTAACTGTCTGATTACTTATAACAATAAAGAGAAACTTGCTTATGAATTAAATGCTTAAGAACCACGCTACCTTTTAGTCTGCTGCATGCCATACAATTAAATAGACTTCCAGCTTCCAGTTTTGGAAATATCCATTGTCAATTTTAAAGATAACATCATGAACATTTAGAATTAGGCCATGTAGGCTGGTCTGGATGTATATTTATGCCAAAGGTTAATCACATTTCATTCCTGCAGGGCAAAAGTTAATTAAATTCAAAGCATGGCTGGGCTGTTACTGGGTCTAGTTTAAACTGCAGCGGTTACATTATAAAATATAGACACCGCAGCAAACCATGTGAGAAACAACAATAACATATAAGCATCAAAAATATTTCCCACTTGTGTCCAGGTCATTTTGTCTTCATAACATGGGACATGACCTAAGTTTTCTTCTGGAATAGTGGTAGGAAAATCTGTGTCCTGGGTGTCAGGCAAACTTTCCTGAGTAAAATATGATGTTGAGTACCTCCGAAGTGAAAATTTCTTTTTAGTCATGGGGTTCTGTGGGGTTGCTGACATTGGACTTTTTATTTCATTGTGACTGGTGCCTTGGCTGGAAACCTTTGCATTTCTCTTGTACAGGTAATTAAATGATAGAAATTTAGCTATTTTCTCAATGTGACTTGGAACAGGTTTTTTCCCTTGATTGGTATGTATTTGCAGTGAAATGATTGTACAGAATAAGATAGCTGCACTGTATATAAGCATTATAAACACTTGTAACATGAGGTTAGCTACAGGCAATGAGCCTTTTGGCATGTTGTCTGTCAGTATTCCCATATACACAGTGAAAGCAAGGAACGTTGTAATTGAAAATGAAGCACGCTCCCCAGAATCTGGAGGAAGGAAAAACACCCAGAAATTCAAAACGCCAAGCAAGTGTATCGGAATTTTCATTGTCATTAAACCGTACATATTACGACGTTGTAGATTTATAGTGATGTCATATTCACCCCTTTCAGCAGACGTAATTATTTCAAGAATATTCCATTCATTGTTTGTTGGAATATTGTGTATTACTGACATAGATTTCCCTAGTCTTATTTCATCTACTGTATATCCTGTTGGAACAGTTGTTAGTTTGCATATTTGAAAGTCATCCGGATAGTGTTGAATGTCAACAGGACAAACAGATGTTAGCAAGTCTGTACTTGACAATGTCGCCTTTCCATCATATGAAACAGAAACTTTTGTTGCCGCTTTTCCTGGTTGACTCAATGTATTGAGAGATGTCTTCAAAAACAAGTCAGGGTGCCATACATCTGTTTTTGGTAGAATGATTTTTGTGATATTGCCATAATCTTCAGGTGTCCATTGTAGTCGCTCTTCCAACCATTGCATAGTAAATGTACCTAGAAGTGAGATTTCCCCGGAAACATCATCAAACGATCGAATCATTTCCAAACTGAAGTTCATATTCACTACAACTACTGCAAATTGTTCAAAAACTGGCCTTAGCCTGTTGTCATAGTTTTCCATTAGATCATGAACAAGTTCCATGGTTTGGTTGAGAGTTGACCTTTTACCTCTTGTCAAGGTCATGGACCAGCATACTAACAACACAGTTAAAAGTGAAGGCCTCTTTATTGTGTCATCCATTGTATCTGCTGAAATATCAAAAAATGTGTTGACATCTGCTACTTTATAGGAACAACTTGAAAGCTCAAAGTAAAAATACAATGCTGTACTCTTGATAACCATTTAAACTAATTTACAGTACATTATTTTTGCAGTAATGACTACATGAATTTAGTTTTTAAATAAAATGTTGTTTATACATGTTTGATCTTGACTGTCTAACTTTTACATTTATTATTCTTATTATTAACAAACATAATTTCCTCCTTGAAAATAAATGCAAAATAATATCTTAATTTAATGTTTACATTAAACATAAATTAAGACAATAAGACAAAAATCATTACATAAAAACTCACTTTGTTTAGTTTATGATATCTACAACAGTAAAGATTGATTCCTATAATTATATTGACTGCTGAGTTTGAATAAAGCAATTATACAAATATTGGTCAGATTAAGAGGCCCTGACATTGTAACCTTCGTAAAGGGATATACTATAGATATACAATGTATATGTATAAAGTACTATACATATATAAGCAGAATGAAAACTGTAAAATAAAATTTATTTAAACTTTGCATAATCTTAGAAATGATAACAGAAACATTTAGAAGTGGAAATAATGGGAGTTACTAAGCTTGTTTTAGGGTTATCTGCACTTGAAGTTGAAAATTTTGCTTATATGCCTTTTAATATACATTTGTATATTGAATGGTAGAAAATGATGATAAAAAAGGTGTTATGGGTTTAGCATTGATGAGTATTTCATAACAAAGGCAATACTGTTGAGCATTTTAGTATAGTAGCTTACTATAAGTTTTTTTACATCATTTGTTGAGAACAACAATGTCTTTATTGACTAAAAGTCAAAATTTCACGGTAAATGCAGTATATAATATTGATTTAATGCATAAGTTTGTTCGTTGATTGGCAAGTTACTATTGTGGCACACATAGAAATTTCAGTTTCATTTTTTTGGATATATTGGATTAGGCACAGTCCAACAAATTTGCAAAGTTATAATGTAAAATGAAAGTTTACTTCTTTGAAAATGTACAATTAGATTTTTTTTATGATTGAAAAAAAGGATATTTATACCCCCGCACAACAAAGTTGTAAGGGGGGTATACTGGAATCAGCTTGTCCGTCCGGCCGTCCGGCGTCCTGCCGTCCGTCGGTTTTTTCTTGTCCGCCCAATAACTTAAGATTCCTATGACCCACAGCCTTCATATTTGGCATGGTGGTTACAAATGATTAGTAGATGACGCCTATTGATTTTGAGGTCACCAGGTCAAAGGTCAAGGTCACAGGGGCCTTGACTTCAAAAACCTTGTCCGCCCAATAACTTAAGATTCCTATGACCCACAGCCTTCATATTTGGCATGGTGGTTACTCATGATTAGTAGATGACGCCTATTGATTTTGAGGTCACCAGGTCAAAGGTCAAGGTCACAGGGGCCTTGACTTCAAAAACCTTGTCCGCCCAATAACTTAAGATTCCTATGACCCACTGTCTTCATATTTGGCATGGTGGTTAGTCATGATTAGTAAATGACCCCTATTGATTTTGAGGTCGCCAGGTCAAAGGTCAAGGTCACAGGGGCCTTGACTTATAAAACCTTGTCCGCCCAATAACTGAAGATTCCTATGACGCACTGTCTTTATATTTTGCATGGTGGTTAGTCATGATTAGTAGAAGACCCCTATTGATTTTGAGGTCACCAGGTCTAAGGTCAAGGTCACAGGGGCCTTGACTTCAAAAACCTTGTCCGCCGAATAACTTAAGATTCATATGACCCACTGTCTTCATATTTGGCATGGTGGTTAGTCATGATTAGTAAATGACCCCTATTGATTTTGAGGTCGCCAGGTCAAAGGTCAAGGTCACAGGGGCCTTGACTTATAAAACCTTGTCCGCCCAATAACTGAAGATTCCTATGACGCACTGTCTTTATATTTTGCATGGTGGTTAGTCATGATTAGTAGAAGACCCCTATTGATTTTGAGGTCACCAGGTCTAAGGTCAAGGTCACAGGGGCCTTGACTTCAAAAACCTTGTCCGCCCAATAACTGAAGATTCCTATGACCCACTGTCTTCATATTTGGCATGGTTGTTAGTCATGATTAGTAAATGACCCCTATTGATTTTGAGGTCACTGGGTCAAAGGTCAAGGTCACAGGGACCTTGACAAAAAAAGCTTTTCTTCTTAATTGTTAAAGAATGTCCTGTCCGCAATGTATTGATTTTGACATTTTCACATTTGAAGCATGTAGAATACATAACTTACCAATGCACTGGCATGGTAACCTTAGATTTGGCAGGGAGGTTGTCCTCTAAATGGCCACTGTTGATTCTGACAAAGTGGTATGCGGGGGTATTCACGCCATGATAGTGGCAGTTCTAGTTTATACAAGACTGACAGAAATGATATGACTTTGATATGTTGTTGATAAGGAGGGGATTTATCCCCTCAAAATGTTGGAGGCTGATAAACTTTGTTTCGTAATATCAGTAGTGGTTTCATTATTTAGAATACTACTGTATAACCTCAATACATTAACAGTGGACCCATTAAATTCATATAAATAATTAAACATGTTTATACTGTGATCTGTTGACAACAACAATGACAATTATCAATCAGTAATGTCATCACATTGTTGACAGTAAATTTTTATGTTCCTTTTGTTTCAAGAGATGGGAGAAATTTAACTTCAGAATAAATCAGAATTATGATTGCATCTGGGAGTTATGGTGACAATGATGTCATTGATGAGATAAACATTAATGTGTCTGTAGAAATTCCTCTATTCCCCCATGTGATTATTTACACCTAGTGTAATGATATATATTTCAATATATTTATGTTTAAAGGGAGACATACTTTTATTTACTGGGAGAACTTTATACAAGCATAAATTCACAGAAAATATTATTTTATGACAGTTTGTGTAGTTTTGAAAAAAAGAATTAGTGGGCTTATCCTGCACAAAATAATTAAATGCAGGGCCCATTTCACTAGCAAAACAATTTGTTTAATAACATTGTGTATTGAACCTACTCTCAAATTATATGACAAACATTTGATTTAGTTCAGCATCATAGAGGACTATTTTTACAGCACAATGTCTTTGAGTCTGTGATGTTTTAACCTATTGATCATAAGTCTTCATTCATTCAAATATATAATTTTGCCAAATAAATTACCATTTATTAGACCTCTCCAAAACACAATTGCTTCTTGTACATATATCACATATTGCCTTTCCCTTTTTTCATGAGCACTCTCAAATTAAACCATTCAGACAAAGGGTATTGAAGACTGACCATCATGAAGTAAATTCTGTGTCATGTAGTTTTAGCACTTGGGTTGCTAGTGGCAACTGATACTTCCCATGTGACCAGTATGGACCAATAGCAGCTTCACATTTGCAATTCAGTCAGTATTTATTTTGAAATTTTCTCTAAAAAATATGAATGGCTTTGTCCAAACTGAATAATGGGCAAGTCCATTTAAGATATTTAGCAAGGAAAAGGTTATATACTGTATGATTATAAAATGAAATATACAAACAAAAGCTGACATAACAGTTAAGATATTTTTGTTTAGATTTAGGTACAGAGTTGAGTTGCCAGGCAACATCATGCTATAATGGAGGAAGATGTGAATCTCAATATAACTCGTTCCAGTGTAACTGTGACATGACATCTTTTACAGGACCACACTGTGCTGATGGTATGTTATTCTCAATTCATATCTTACATGATTAACTAAACTAAATCAGAAATGCCCAAATCAATCACATGCATTTATGATGGCTGATTTGGTACGCTTTTGTGCTTCTGGTTGGCGCTAGCAAACAGCGCATTCATCTTGCGTCATGTCCCTAGCAACAAAGGGCCAAATGGCATGTTTACGTCTTGTTGTCCTGTCTCTAGCGCAAAACACCAAAAGCCACGTTGTGGTGCGGCACGTTGTCGTGTGGCGTATTGTCGTGCGGTACGATGTCGGCCTGTCGCTTTGCTTATAAGCCAATCCTTCAATTTGAACCGATCGACAATGTAACATCGTGACAACACGCCTCACGACAACGCACCGTTTTGCCTGCCGTGCTTGAGTCAGGAGGACAAGACGACAGCGCACAACTTGCCGTTTGGTGCTTTGTCGAGTTGTTGCTAGCGCCATTGCAACACACAAAAGCATACCAAATCAGCCAAAAGGTAATATTTCTTGTACTAGTTTCTACCAACATCTCAATTGCTTGGAGAAAACATAATGTTATGTTTCCTACATAGTCTAAACAGATTCAAAGACTGTTCAATTTTAGCCTTTATTTAATAAATCTAAAAATCATTTCAAGTGTTAAAAAATGCATCAACAAACAGTGGCAATTTCTAGCACATGTATTCAAGAAAGTCAAACAAACATGGGTTTACATTTGATGTACTTTTGCTTTTATGTTAACAGAGAGTGTCACTTACCAATTTGGTCTTGGTAAGGGACTGGTTGTGTTCGAGTACCCGGAGGATGCCCGCCCGAGCACCAAGACGGACTACCTGGCACTGGGTATCACTACCATACAAACAAGTCAGGCAAAGATCCTGAGGATAGACAGTGCTGATACTGATGATAATATTGAAGTGGAATTGGTACGTACATCTCATTTTACTTGACAAGAGAGAAATTAGCTGTAGTGAATGTCTTAACCCATTACTTCATATACACGCCTTTTAACGCCTTTTTCACCCCCCCCTTTTTGTTGTCTCAAATGGTGAAAAAATGCCTTGTTTAGGCCCCCAACACTTGTTTTTGTTTGAGAAATGTTGTTAAAAAAAGTGAGCACTTTTTCGGCGCGGCCCCCCAACCAAAAGATACATCAGGGGGTTGCCAGATGTTTGGGGGGTTTGAAGGGGGGCGGAGTCCCCCTCATCGCCAAGAAAATTTTGGACTTGTGAGAGGCTATAAATGACCTCAGATTGATCATAAGGTAACGTGTAACCAACGCTGATAAGCATTTGACTCTATCTCAATCCATTGAGAAGTTGCAGCACTTTGAAATCAATTATGATGGAAAAAATCAACGCAAAATAGTGATTTTTGGCAATTTTGAGATGTCCCCTCGTTGCCATGGTAACAGAAAATTTAAGCCTGAGCATGTTGTTGCAAGGGCAATGGTCCAGTCAACATTTGTGCCAAGTTTGATTAGTGTTGAAGCAGTTTTTATAGTATTATAGCAATTTGAACTTGTAACGGGAGACTTTTCAATGAAAACAGCCATTTTTCACAAAATGATCATAAAGTAATGGGTTAATATACAGGTCATTGTGAACTATACAAGAAAGTAAAAAATGTATACATGTCATAATTGATAGTGCTGAATGACATTCATATTAATTTGTGTTACTTTCATTGAGGAAATAGTTGTTTTCAATTGTTATCCAGCAAAGGTTAAGCAATTGCTTCTACGATACAAATGTAACAGAGCACTCATTTGTCCATCTGGTATTAACCCATTGCTTCATGAGCATTTTGTGAAAAATGGCTGTTTTCATTGAAAAGTCTCCCGTTACAAGTTCAAATTGCTATAATACTATAAAAACTGCTTCAACACTAATCAAACTTGGCACAAATGTTGACTGGACCATTGTTCTTGCAACAACATGCTCAGGCTTAAATTTTCTGTTACCATGGCAACGAGGGGACATCTCAAAATTGCCAAAAATCACTATTTTGCGTTGATTTTTTCCATCAAAATTGATTTCAAAGTGCTGCAACTTCTCAATGGATTGAGATAGAGTCAAATGCTTTTCAGCGTTGGTTACACGTTACCTTATGATCAATCTGGGGTCATTTACAGCCTCTCACAAGTCCAAAATTTTCTTGGCGATGAGGGGGACTCCGCCCCCCTTCAAACCCCCCAAAACAGAAGGGGGCAAATCCCCCTTCTGGCAACCCCCTGATGTATCTTTTGGTTGGGGGGCCGCGCCGAAAAAAAGGTCACTTTTTTTAACAACATTTCTCAAACTAAAACAAGTGTTTGGGGCCTAAATAAGGCATTTTTTCATCATTTGAGACAACAAAAAAGGGGGGGGGTGAAAAAGGCGTTAAAAGGCGTGTATATGAAGTAATGGGTTAAAGTGATGGTGTAAATTTTATTTTGCATGCTTTAAGATATATTATGTAAAAATAATCATGAAGATTCACTTTCTCATTTACAATAAAAGATATGCTTGGTGTTCTTTGAGAAATACAAATTTATTATAATTTGAATATTTGAAGTCATGGCTTATAAATTTGATGCAAGAATAAGTCATCATTCAAATGATTGTGTAACAAAGGAGAATATTATTGGACTATTTGTCTCAAACATAGAAACAAACGTAATGTCATTTTAAAAACATTATGTAATTATTTCTTTATACCTTTTGTATATAAATCACACAATGTATAAAAATGAGTATATTTTTTGTTAAAAGTTAAAGGACAAATCTTAAAGGTACATGTACTCCGCACTAAAGGTTTTTTGACATGATAGTTTTATAGTTTTGTGTTCCATTTATTGTAGGTTTGAACCAATATGTTTGCGTAAATTTTTAGCTCATTCACTCAGTCTGTTTTTCTAGAATGCTTAATGACCTAAAATTAAAACGTTTAAATGCTTTTAATGTAAATCAGACAAAGAATTGCACAAAAGTTTTTTAATTTAATTCTGGATATACACATACATGTTATAATTACCATTTGTGAATCTTTTTGTTATAAGTACCCCACTTGAGTTATAAAGAAGAATTTTATGTTTTGTTGTTGTTTTTTAAGCGTTTGGACCTCAGTTAAGTTCCTTTAAATACTGAAAGGGAGAAATTATGCTTATCAAAGGAGACATAGAAGTTTTTCATTTGATATGATATACAAAATATATTCATACAGACTTACTTATAAGAGGCCATTTACTACTTATGGAAAGTAGAATATATTTGTTTTGGTTCTGAAAATGTCTGACTAAATCAAACGGCCATAATAATGCTAATAATAGTGTAATAAATATCCATTTGCAATAGAAGAATAAATTTCACATAGGGAATAATATATATCTAAACAGTCTGCCAACAAATTGATCAAAATGGCCGCCTTGTAGAGAATCTTGGGATCTTTTGATCTTTGTGATGAATTATGGGAAAATTAGGCTAGATATTGAGGAAACTGCAGAATAAGTCATTGCTCATATTACCCTTGCCTGTCTCCATCTTAAGATAAAAGATATCATGGTTAAATCTGGTATCTACAAAAATCAAAATATTATTCCAAAGATGGCTCAGCTTTGAGCATATGACGTCTACTAAGTCAAGAATCCTTATGTTGATTCATAGAGGTGTTATTCATACATCTGATATTTGACTTCTGGTGCTCCACTTTTTGATGAAAAAAGGAGAAGCTATTGTACAGACTTTAATTGGCATTGTTGTTCGTTTTAGGGTTGGTTACTCTTTTTGTAAAGGTCCATTTCGAATGCATTTCAAAAGGACAGGTAACCTTCATTGTGGCAAGCTGCTTTTATTCCAAAGCAAGAGAAGATTTTTAGTGTGCAGAACCAAATCTCAAATCTGATTTATTGCTGCGCAGTAAAAAATAGCTTGTAAAGGTAAAACAATAAGAGGTTACAAATTCCTTTGGATATATTTTGTAGGTAAATGGCAATATATTTATGGTGTACAATATGGGTCAAGCAAGTATCCCCGTGGTAACATTGCAGCAGAAGGTGAATGACGGGAAGTATCATGTGATTCGTTTCCACCGGTCAGGAACTGACGCCGTCTTGGAAGTTGATTGGGAAAGACAGGACAAAAACCCAGTTGGTTTGTATATTTTTAGTTTATCACTGCTCATTATTTTAACAGCTCACAAAAAGATTTTAAAATGCAGTAATTGGTAGAAAAATACAACACTTTAGAGCACTGTAGAAAACACTCCATTCTATATCTTTATGTCTGCTCACTGCATATTGTCCAGACCATGAATTACCATAGTATAGTTGGACATTATGATATTATGAAATTGATATTATGTATATATCGAAAATGGTATCATGTTTGAATTGATAATGAAATAGTTTACAATGAAATTATTAATATGCAACATGGGTTAGGGCAAAATAATTTTGCTTTGTCAACAATCATTTCATGTTTTTCATTGAACAAGTTCTATGTGACTCAGTGCCTATATGTTGATGCAATATCCCTGTGAAGATTGATCCGATCATTAGTAAAAAACTATATTACTTCAAACGTTTCACATTAAATGCTATACTGGCTTATCATAAAGATTTTGACAGAGTAAGATACATCAGTGTTGTTATGAAACATTGAATTATTGTGTATAGGAGAATTATTGCATATTGTATAATGATCATTAGTGAAGAATTTAATCAGAATTTCATGCCTTTCATCTTGTTTTCATTTGAAAAAAGGGGGAAAAAGATGTATAAGTCTGCAGATATTTTTCCCAATACCATTAATGTTATTCAAGGTGGTGAACTTTTTGCATTATTCATTCTAAATTTAACACTTGGTGGAGAACGGTTTTAGTTATAATCTGCAAATATAATTATGAAATGATGTATTCAATGTTTTCTAATAATTTCTCTTTGATCTTTTCTGCTACCATATACTGAGGAAATGTCAATTAGATAATATATAAAAAAGCACACTGTATATTGAATATAAATTGCAGACAGATTAATAGATTTAGCTACAATAAATTAAGTCGCTAATTTACCAGATAGTCATTTTTGTACCAGATAGTCATTTTTGCTGTCTGTTGAAATTAGCATAATTTGAGCCGAGCCATGACAAAAACAACATTAGTGCTATGGATCCATGGTGGTCGCAAACACACTATGTTGGTATTGTCATGGCGTGGCTCATTTGTACTTATATATTCTTTTGTCAAGAGGTATCTGTAGATTAATAATGTTTCAGATTATTTATAACATAGTTTTATATAACATATTGTAACAGACTTTTATTGTATTAGACTTAGCAGGAAATTGTACGATGATTTTAGATTGTTCATTAGTTAATATATAAATTGTTAATGTAATTGACTATATTCATATGCCAACTCTTGCTTTATAAGGACATGAATTGGTGAGAGAGCTTACATTAAAACTCACCACATGATAGAATTAATCTTTTAATTTTTTTCTATATATTTTTTTTGCAATTCATAATTTACATAATAGAAGAATTAAAGTAAAGGTTAGAAAGAAATTAGTGCTGTAACAAGAATTTTCTGAAATCAACAAACATAATGAAATGAGAGATTAATTTTGTTTAAAGAATCTTCATGCACAAGTGTCCATGATCATTATTTATATATTTTAGGAAGTTTTTAGAGAAAATTTATTGTTGAATCTAATAATATGTTACTAAATATAGAGTTATAGGAAATTGTCCATATATGCAAGACTTAGTGTTTATGTTTGATTTGATAGTGGCTGCTTGTCGATTTATATATTATTTTTGATGAAATTTTATCTAGTTTGTTTTAAAACTTTTAAGTACATGTATATGATTGAAAGGTCTGATATCTTTGTAATTTGAAGTTCACTTTACATGTTTTATTTGAGTTTATTTCTAACTTTTTTAACATCTCCTTATATAAAGAATATTTTCTGGCGGAGCTAAAATTTTATTTAAGCTTATTTTTTCTATATTTCATGAAATGATAGTTATGATTTGACAGGCATAATTATGTATTAGCCATAATATTGTTTATCAGGATAATACAGTTACTTACTATTTTTGAGAGACTTAAAACTGTTTTGCAATAAAATGCTTATGCTATTTTTCTAGATGTCTTTTAAAAGTTTGTCATGAATCTAGTACATTTGACTTGCAGTTTTATGATTAGAATTTTTGAGATGTGAGATTAAATATTTCCAAGGCTCAGATGATTTAAAGTTATAAATGCTTCACAGACATTTTATTGACAACATTAACATGAAACAAAGTGAACAAATTAAGAAGACACCTGGTGATTACAAAATAGTTTTAAATCTTTTATAAATAGAAATGTTATACCTACAAGTGGTTTCATTACCAAACATAAAATAACACTAGATCCATGCTGGCTTTATTTCCTGATCATTACATGATTACTATAGTGATGTAAACAATTGCATTGTAGTTGGTTAAAACTTTCTAAATTGTTACATAATTGGCAAGGTGAAATTAGAATACTTTACATATTGTGTTATTTCAGAATTATTCTTTTTTGGTCAAAACACTGATTGTGCATTTAGCAATTACGACAACTGTATTTTTTTAACTTTGTATGTAAATGAAGGTAATTAGTAATTTTATATAGCTGTATATTTGATTGTTTTTTGTGTTTTAAGGTCTTAACAATTACAATTGTCATCTCTTATTACCATTGCAACACATAATGCCTTATACCAGTATAATTTTCTAAAAACAAGTACTAAAGCTTTCATTTTAAAATGCTATCTTTTTCAAGTTTTTGTTTATCTTTATTGTTAGAACAGGAAAGTCAAGGTCAATTATAATTCTTTTCAGACTGAAATGACCATTTTATACTTAAATTGTGTGTTTGTGTGTCCAAATGTATATTTACCACTGAGCTTTTTAGCATTTAAGCATAAGTGACAAGAAAGCTTGAAGAGTACAAATTGTTAGTCTTGTCACAACAATTTTTGTACACTATTTTGAAAATGAACATTTCTTTAAGTGATAACACTAACAGGTGGATATTCAAAATCATTTCTCTTGTCTTTAAACTGTTTATTGATATTTGTAAAAGCAAACTCATTAAAGAAGATGTGGAGCATATGGACTGTTATTTGGATTTTTAGCTCGACTTTTCTATGAAAAGGGGAGCTATCCTACTCGCCCCGGCGTCGGCGTCGGCGTTGGCGTCACACCTTGGTTAAGTTTTTCGTACCACCCCACTTTATTTCAGAAGTATTACAAGTATGGCTTTGAAACTTACCATACTTGTTCACCATCATAACCTCCATCTACAGACAAGAGTACATAACTCTGTCAAGGTTTTTGACAGAATTATGGCCCTTTTTTGACTTAGAAAGTGTATTGAGCTTGGTTAAGTTTTTTGTACCACCTCACTTTATTTCAAAACCATTGGAGGTATTGCTTTGAAACTGACCATACTTGTTTACCATCACGACCTTCATCAACAGACAAGAGGACATAACTCTGTCAAGGTTTTTGACAGAATTATGCCCCTTTTTGACTTAGAAAATACATTGAATATGGGTAAAATCCACTTATTGCCTTAACCCTTTGAGATATTGCTTTGAAACTTTTAATGCTATTTCACATCATTACCCCCATCTGTACGCAAGAGAAGGTAACTCTGTCAAGGATTTGTTTTAAAAATTAAGGCCTTTTATCGACTTACAATCTTGGTTAAGTTTTTAGTACCAGTCCACTTTTTGACTGAACTGTTTGAGATATTAATTTCACTAAATATCTTAATGCTCATGGCCATTGTTCACTTTAAAAATACAGAGATTCTTGTATTGCCTTTTACTGCAAAAACTTTTTTTATTGGCAAGCAATAAAAAAGTCGAGCGCGCTGTCTTACGGACAGCTCTTGTTCCAGCTTGCATTGGTGTTTATTTTGACCTGTTTATAACACTGGACTGTGACAAAACAACTGTTTTTGACAAGATCTGACCAATTGGATGAATGATGGTGGAAGAGCATTGTAAAACACAATACTAACTGAATGTCCTAATTAGGAGCATTATCATATTACAAATTGACATTGTGTTTCTTTGAAAAATAATTTCATAATTATCACTGATTGTCTTATGTTTTTATAAATTTTAAGAATTCCTAAATTTTTCATGTTTTGTTTGCGTTTTTTGAAGAACCTTTGTAAGCAATATCTGTAATGTAAAGATTTTTCTCTGAATTGCTACATTCTTGTTATGGGTTGATTTTTTTATGATTGCCCACAAGTCCTTTTGTAGAGGACAGACAATTAAGTTTCTTAAACAACTGTTTGAGATACAGACATTGTGACAAAGATAGTAACATTAAGGTAAGGTGTCCAAATTAAGTCACAATGACCAGTCTTTGATGACCAAAGTCTTATAGACCTTATATAGATATTGTCTCTAAATGGAATGTTTATACAAAATGTTTAAGGACAACATCACTTTGGTCAACATGAATGTAAGGACATTATATCAACGTCACAATAACCATGGTCCTGACAAACAAGAAAAGAAGATTACAGTTTTTATGCACAATACCAATGCCCAAATACTGAGTAATACAATATCACTGTACTCAAAGCCAAGGCTACAGTGCAAAAATCACTTAGGTTTATTTCTTGGACAAACCTTTGAAGACCTAAGTTACTTATCTTCATGTAAAGATCAACTATTCAGGCTAAATTTTTATGGTCAAAAGTTTTCACTCTATGGTCAAGGTTGATCTCACTATTTCAAATATGAAGTCAAAACTGAATATTTGAATGTCATACTAACTGTTGAATCATATAGTGCATGTCAGATCTATTAAATCTGTGTCAATACCAAATGCTCTAGTTTAAGGTCACTTTCCTTGATGGCAAAGCTTAGAATGTATACTAAAAGGTCATGGTCACATTTCTAAAAACCAAAGTCACTACCCTCAATGCAGAGGTCAAAAATTAAAGGTCAAAGTGGTCAAGGTTGAAGGTCAAAATCATAGTTTGCAAATATCAGGACAAGTTGCTGTAGTCTATGTCAAAATCTATTTACTGACATTCAAGGCTTATTACCTTGATTCATTGTTATTTTAGTCTTTTTTTCAACTCATGTTGTGAATGTTAAAGTCATTTTTTACATGCTCATAGATGTAAGGATTTTTTTAAGCATTTGCATATTAAGTATATAATAATATACTTATAATATAATTTGTTCTAATTATTATTACCAAGGTCAAGGATGAGATTGAATACATTAAATAATTTGAAAAAACGATTTTTAATTTAAAGTTTGTCAAATCTTTTTTCCTATGATTTTTTCTCCAAAACAAAATTTTTGAATTTAAAGAACCAGTTACCTTCAAGAATGCATTTTCATCTTAAATTTAATTGCCTGTATGAGTTCTCAGACAAAATTATCATACTTTTCCTTTATTAGAAAAATTATCATTGTTCTTTTTAAAATAAAATATACAATTATCATGATTTAATTTTAAAGCTTAAGTGAAAGGGGAATTATATAGAACTTAAATATTTAACTTATAAATAACATATTCGGATTAGGTCCTTTGGTTTCTATTTACTTTTTTACCTTTTTTTTGAAATGTCAATGAATAAAACATCATTTGTTCTTATAAGTGCCATATTCATTTATAATATATTTCTACCAGTGTTTGTTGTTTTTTAATTGAAATTTAAAGATTCAATGTGATAAATCATAAATTGTAGACCAATCTGCTAAAACCATTACCGTGCTAAGTGTCCTAAATGGACTCGTCCATCTTTCAATCTTGACAAAACCTTTGTTTTTAACAAAATTTCAAAATAAGTATTGATTGAGCTAGTAGTGATCAGAGTTTTCTGATCTTTGTCTGCAATGGTCGCAACTGTAGATCCAGATGTCTCCAGCAGACTACAGGCTAAACAAATTAACCAATATAACCTAATGGAACCAAAAGTGTTTAGCTTCTGCTTGTAGAATCTGTACAGTCTTGACTAGGATCTATTTTGTTGGTCAACCAATTTTTGTTATTTTTATAATAAAGTTCCTTAAATCTGAAATGAACTGTTCTAAATTCAAAGATGGACTACTTTATTACACAAATTTAGCAGGTTGAGGGTTAGTGGACTATGAGACTGGTTTACAATTTCATGGTTTATGATCTTTAGGGTTTGAGGCTTAGATTTATTGCTTACCTTTGTATTAAGCAAATTGTAGTTTTTTCATGTATTATTTATATGTAATTTTTAATGCCTGCCAGAAACCTACAAGAAGTTATACCCAGACTTAGATCCCACAGGTAATATGTTACCTGATACATTACTGCCTGATTCGTGATCACAAGTATTAAAATATTCAACAATTCCTGCCATATAGCTATAGTCTGATTCAGTATGACCTTTGACTCAGTGAAAGTTATGTTGCAAATAAAATGTCAAATTTGGGTTTATCTTACTATTATACACTATCTTTCCCCTTCCAACAAAAAAAATAGATACTGTAAATAGATAAAAAATGACTGTATTGTAACCATTTAAAAATGACCGTATACCATTTAAAAAAAATGACTATATACCATTAATGATGAACCAGTTGAGTATTTATGGTAACTGTTAAATTTTTTGTGTCAGTCCATTGGCATGTACATGTTATTTGTTCTAAGATTAACCATACTAAGTATCTAATTCCTACTTTGAGCATAACCCTTTTGTGAAAGGTCATATTGAAAGAAACTGAGCATCAATTTCTTCACATTAAGGTTTTTTGTTTCAAAGTTAACAAGTATCCATAGAAAATGTGCATGTTATTTTTATTATGTTGAGAATTTCACAGTGTTTCATATTTGCTGTGTCATTGAATTTATTAACAAAACTAATATTCACTGCAGTATAATTTTTTAGACAGTATAATAAATCAGTCATTATTATAATGATTTAAAACCCCACTAAGACCATTTCACTTCCGGGAAGCAAAGTTATAAAAGAAGTTTTTTGTTTTTTTCATTTTTAGCTCAACTAGGTGCTAAGTGCCAAGGTGAGCATTTAGGGTCAATAGCTGTCTCTCATACATTGATGGAATGCATTTCTGTTATGAAATGGTAGCTTCATTTGTCTGAATGTTCAATTTGCTTTAAACCAGTGGATCTCAGCTTATTTTGTTTTTAATTGGGCCAATTATAAGTGCTTTATAATTAAAGCTTCTGAGAGGGACAAGTTGGTTATATCTGCTAGGAAATGGTTTAATTTCTGCTTTTATTTCAAAAAAATGTTATAACATGAGCTATCCATAGATCTTAGTTTTTCGACTTAACTGTTTAAATGTAGTCATGGGCTGTAGAGTCAGTGGTACCTTAATGTGGCTGAAATATGCATATCTTGCTGAATCAGATTTAAAGGGGGCACTCTTTGAAAATCAGCTGTAAATATACAAGTGTTATGGCTAATTTAATTCAATAGTTTATATGTTTTCCTTGTTAATATCTTCCATGGTTTAGTCTCTTGATTTTATATTTTCTGAAAATGAAAGTTTTATAGAAATCTTCTTGTTGGAAAGCTATGAGATTTCATGTTGCATGGCCTCAATATACTCTCACATGTTTATCTATAAGTACAAATTGTGCTTATTCCAAAGTTTATAGATTTATTCAAGAGAAATCTTCTTGTAAGTAACTGTATGGCTTAGCATTTGTTTATTTGATTGACATGGTTGACCTATACTAAGTTATCAAGTAATGACCCAGAAATTTCCCCCCTCCTGAGGAATAATATTGGAGACAAAATTGCACCATCCATATGATCACTATGTTTGGTAAAAAAATCTATTTGTAGGGCCCTATTCTCTCAATATCTCAGACATCTAGTATTTAAACCCTTGCATGAACCTGGGGTTTATTCACATTGACTAAAAAGAAGATTTTTCTTTCCTTCCTCATAAAATCTTCATTTAATGACTGATATTCTTCATTTTTGGTATGTAATGTGGAAATGAAGGTCAATGCCACAAAGGCTAATATTGGCTTTTCTGCTTTTCCTCATAGATGTATGCCCAAACATAAGATAATAGTGGTTGCTATCTTCATTCAGGTGAGCAGATACTAAGTTTATCATTGTCCTCTAGTGTATATTTTATATACAAATGGGGAAATTATATTTAAAACATCTTACATTAAAGTCACTGACAGAGCAATTGTACTAAAGTTTATGTTCATTTTTTCAGATTAACTATCATGATATTAGATATTTTTCCCTGTATCACAACTTTAGAAACATTGGTTGTGTATTTGCAGGTCACAAGATGAATGTGTTCAACAGCCAGGCTAGAATCATGATTGGTGGCAGGAAGAACAGCCAAGGTGAAATCACAAATGCATTCCAAGGAACTATTTCTGGTTAGTAATTTTAACTTCTGTTTCCAGCTATGACTTATTACTTTATACACTTTCTATGGCTTTCACTTTCAATAAAGTAAAAACAGTATAATAAACATCATTAAATAACCTTTATTGAGTTAATTTTGTTGATATATTATCAATGTGTAACATGATATAGTTGCCATGGTTATTGACAACAGAAATTAATTTCTGAGGACTGTAACTGAAATATGATTCATTTGTAATACAAGTTTTCTAAGTATTAATTAATTTTCAAGGAATCATATAGGAAAAATCTTAAATGTTTTTATCAGGCAAGTAACAGACACATGAAAAGACCAATACATCATATGTTAAGTTACAAGCTGTACTTTTGAGCATTGTTGTTTTGTATAATTTTTGTAGGTTGATTTATGTATGAATTATAGGAATATTATGAATGTTATATGATTTAATACAACTTCATGCATATGTATTGTACTATAAGGAATATTATGGTTTCAGGTGTTGTATTTAATGGTTTGAGGATTTTGGACTTACTGAAGGAAAGAGACCCAAGAATTTCATCAGAAGGAAATGTCACCCTTGTACATCCTTCATCGTGAGTGAACTGTTTAATGTCATATGTCATTTAGATTTTGTCACATCAATAACAGAGCATCTTGACAAATATGCAACAATTCAATGGATAAATGGTTTAATAAACACTGAAAAAAGGCAGTCAGAAATTTATAAATCCAGACATTCTTATTGGACATATAAGTAGAGCAAAGACTAACATGCATTTGTGAAGATACAAATGTATTTTAAAAGTGTTAACAGGAAATGTATGCCCCTTACTATTATCCCTACATAAAATGTTACAACCATTATAATGTCATATGCCATGGCATATTATTATTTGAACATCCGACATCCCTGTTTTATTGGCTGCTGTCATGTTTATAGAAACACCAACGGGTAAACACATCAATATTTAATTAACTAGTGCTAAACATAATTATTTCTTAAATGTTGTATTTCTTTCTTCTAATAATTGACATAAAAATGTGAATTTATATTTCAGACCAATCCTGCCTCCAGAACCTGTAGAAATAGCAAATCCAGGGGTGCAGTCAACTCAAGGGGTGAAGGTTAGTACATTTGTTCTTGTGGAATTTGTACAATTCATGCAGAATAGATGATAAGATAAAATAATTCTTTAGTGGTGATAGGCAGCAAATAGATGGTTGAAATTGAGTAAATATTTAAACAAACACAAGGTATTTAAGGTAAATACATTTTTCCAGGACTAATATTGTATGTTATGTTTCCATCATTTTTGTCCATCAATGAAATCTATTCTTTAAATATTTATAGCAAAGTTAACAGTGTTGCACCAAAAGTCACACTATAGTTTTAGACCAAAATTAGCGAACTTCATCGTGAGTAAGTGAACTAAAAACATAAAAGAAGCAAAGTTCATGGTGAGTTAGTGTGAAAAGTATGGATGCTCAGATACCAGCAAAAATAAAAATGGTCTTCCATTCTGTAACTGCTGGCCATATTGACTTCAAATTCGCTGTGATGTCAACAAAGTTAAAAATAGAAAAAAAACATATTCTCGTATGGATCATGATCCATTTTTATCTATAGCATCCTTAGATGGCCCTTTATCAAGATGTTTAAAGCTTTCCTCTTTTATGTGTCATCTGAGGTAAAAAATAGAATAAAAACGTTTTGAAATTATATTCAAATGACATATTTATATTATGGATGGATCTTTGCTAATGCCTGTCTGAAGGATCTTAATAATTGATTTTCACCAACTGGGTATTATAAATGTATATATAAGCATTTATTCATTATTTTGTAACATATATTGTGGGGTGTGAAACACAGCTAATATAACCCTCTTGATATATATTCAAAATGTTATACTTAATTTAGCTTTAGATTAAATGTTTCCAGCAGAAGCAAACTTTGAAACTTTAAAAGATATAAACAAAATAATATTTACAAATTATAGAAAGAAATTTTCAAGAGGTCAATAGGGAAAGAGAATTCTGCAAGACGGAAGCAGAAAACGTCAAACAAACGTTCATCTAGATTTTATCTGCGACGTAAAAATATGATAAATCAGCAACAAGAATTTGATGAGGAACTTGCAAGCCATGAAAACATGATTGTGCAACAAAAACGTACCAAAGTCCATGGGGACAATCATAATACAGCTATAAACCATGCCAGAAAACCCCATCACAAGAAAAAATCTATAAACAATAGGCCTAATGGTCCTTTGTATGTAACAAAGACGTCAATTGGTGGAATCAAAAGTAAGAAAGATCATGTGATTGGTGGGGATGTTCATGTTCTACATGAAATAGGAAGTGTAGAAAATGATGACACTGATGTAGAATACTCAGGATATTCTATGATTAATGGTGAATTTTTTCCGACAGATGATGAATCTTTGATGACAAAACCTAAAGCAGATTACTGGAAACACACTGATTTAAATAGATTTATTAAAATGACTTTGTTTTTACCTCCTGTCAATAATGTTTTTGGTAAAGAGCCTAAACAAGAATTAAAAGTTCAAGTTGGAGTGACCAAAACTGAACCATTTGCAAGAGATAGTAGAAAAAGATTCTACCCAAAGGATAGAGGGAAATTTGGAATAGCAAATAGAAAAAGAGGGTTCATTGATAATACAAAACATTCCAATCATAAACATTCCAAAGTAAGTCAAAGTGTGAAATGCATGCCAGCTATGACAGAAGTAGCTATTACAGAGGTTTATACATGTACTCACACTAACTGAGAGAAGAACTAATTGTATAGTTATTGCATGTTATGATTTGAAACAATAAATAAATAGTTAATTTAACAACTACATGTCACAGACTTGAATTAAGAATAAAATGTATTTGTATGAAGAATGGCAGATTAGACTAATGCTCAGATTAGTTTTTGGTATCTAGATATCACTGACTTAGCACAATGTTTTGAATAAAGATTTAACAGCACATATACCTAGAAACCAATAACCAAATCATGAAGGATCAATAGTACTAACAGCTAAGTACCAATAACCAACATTATGAAGAGTTAATAGTATCTGCAGCTAGAAACCAATAACCAATGCATGAATGATTATAGTACTAACAGCTAAGTACTAATAACCAACATTATGAAGAGTTTATAGTAGATGCAGCTAAAAACCAATAACCAATGCATAAAGGATCAATAGTACTAACAGCTTAGTACTAATAACCAACATTATGAAGAGTTAATAGTAGATGCAGCTAAAAACCAATAACCAATGTATGAAGGATCAATAGCACTAACAGCTAAGTACTAATAACCAACATTATGAAGATTTAACAGTACATGCTGCTAGAAACCAATAACCAATGCATGAAAGATTAATAGTAGATGTACTTATTGCAAGGAGCCAATAACCACTAAATGAAGATTAAATAGTATATTTAGCTACAAACCAATAACCAGCAGTTGAAGATTTAAGAGTATTTACAGCTTTATACTATTAACCAATTAATGAAGATTTGTCAGTAGAACTGCATGTACAAACTAACAACAAATTCATTAATTTTCAAAGAATTCATAACAGAGACTATATTGTGGTTCCAGCAGATGTTTGAATGAGCCAACATACTTTTAAGTCTGAAATTAAAGACTGGAAAATCTTCTTGCTTTTCTTTTACTTTGTTGTTAATTGATGGTATTGAAGTTACCTTTAGCTACTGCTGCCAGTACTTTCCTACGAAGATTTTATTTAAACTCTGTAACAACTGATGATGACCAAAAAGATATTTGGCATATATGAAATTTAAGATTAGATTCTAGGAATTTAATGTTAATGGGTATTGGGCAAGAATATCTTTTTCAAAAGCCATATATACCAACTATTCATTACAAAACATAGATATTAGTCCAGGAAATTTTCTTCTGTCATTCAGATGGTATTTCTATTTCATTAATATAGTGATCACTTGTTGAATTTATTATGTTTCATTTTCTGTTACAATATACATTGATCAGAAACCATCAAAATAAATTGTGTACATTGTACATGTATCAATGAATACTAAAGTCAGATATCTAAATATTAAAATTGAGACAATCATCATGATTTTTGTTGTTGTTGTTTTTAGAGTGTAACACCAAAGCAGCAGACGACAGATGATATAATATTTTCCTCCGGCGAGGGTCCTGATTGTTACAGCAGTGACGACGAGGATGAGTGTTTACCGACAAATTCCGGTTCCGATGATGATATCATTAGACCAACGGTTGTCATTACACGGTTATCTACACCTAAACCAGACCCTAGGTAATATTTCTACACTTTATAAAAATATAAGGAAAATATTTATGTCTCGTAAGGGCTGATGGGATCAAGGTCACTGACGCTGTAATAAAATTTTCTACTTACCATCATAAAGCCTTAGTTTATTGCCAGATTACTTAGGTATTTGGTCTGAAGACAACTTAAATAAAGTTTTTATGTTGTTTAGTTATATGTATATGGTATAATTCATTTTGACTTAAAATAGATTTCTTCAACTTTTTCCCTCATGGTATATGTTCGCTGTGTCAGGCTATTTCAGCTAGTGTCCATATCTCAGTGTCATTGATTTCCTTGTTTTAATACACTTTAAGTTAATAAATGAAGCTTCAAGTTATTACTAAACCTTATTTAAATTTATTTTGTATGGAGGACCAAGTGAACAGTAGAAAAACCATGCAAATTGTTCTAATATTAAACTGTAAAACACATTATGTATATCAGTTTTTATTTGATTTTTGTCAAAATGTTGTTAATACTAAATGTATTAATTAAATTACAACATTTTGTCACTTTTTGTTAGAATTTAGAATTCATGTTAACTCTTGTTAATTTAAGGGAGCATGGCAATCATTCATGTAAAGACAAAGACTGTGAACCACTGGGAACAGAACTTATTCCACCATCTGGCAAGAATACGACAGTATATAACCCACCAGGTCACACTGCCAATCCTGATGGAAAAACTACTGATTTAAGTGAGCCAAGAGCGAAAAAGAGCTCAAATGACTCTGGACATTTGAATATATTTTTAATAGTTGGTATTGCTTGTGGGGTGTTAGTAGCTTTAATAATTTTACTTGTAGCTTTGTATAAATTTCGTAGTCGGGATGAAGGCTCGTACAGAGTAGATGAAAGTCAAAATTTTGCCTATTTAGAAGCTAAAAAACAGCAGGCCAATGGTGCTGCTACTAATAATATAGGGAACGGAAAAGCTGGAGGAAAGAAAAAAGATGTAAAAGAGTGGTATGTATGATATGAGGCCATTGATTCATGTGTGGATTAGGGTAAATGTGTGGATTATGGTAATTGAGTGGATTTGTGTAAATGCTTCAAAATTTTGATAAATGCTCGACATTGTTGTAAACATTTATTTTTTGAAAACAGAAAAGCTTAGTGTATTATTGGAAAATGTGTTTCCAAAGATTATCTTTGTAACATTGTTAATTTTGTCTGTAAATACATTACAGGACATGTAATGATGACTTTTTCTCCATTTTCTAGATCTCTTTCTAAATAAATGGTATCTTAACTATATTTTTGTGCTGAAAAAAATATATAGCAGTTTAAGCATTTGCTTGATACCCATGACTGACTTGCCATCTATAACTAGGTGATTAGTGGAATATATCAGAATAAATTACATTTTGGATATGTAACATTATTATGTATGTGTAATGTTTTTCATTATTAATCTTACAACTACAAAATATTTGTTAAACAATTTTTGTTTGAATTACTCTTCTACTTTTTTGTCATTTTAAAGTACTTTTATATGGAGAAATTAACATGAGTAATGTTTGTTATAAAAGGATGACAGAGTCAAACTGCATTAAAAGAAAGCCAAAAGTGCTATACTTACACATTACTTTACAACATTTATTTACAACACCAGTACAGCTAGCATCATTTATATTTTTGTGTACATTAACGGTAAATAACAAGTATAAACGAATATCGAAAAGTGTGTAAGACTTCATTTCGGTAGGTGGAGATAATGAATAGAATGGTCATGCCAAATTTGTTTTAACAAAAAATATAATTTTATATGTTGTGATTAAATCATGCTTTATTTTAGTCCATAGATTAGGCTGTTATTTATTACCTCCCTTGGGTATGATGATGTCACTATGTGAGGTCATGTGATACATGTTTTGTATGTATGTCTGCTTCTTTATTTAAAATGCATAGCATGTTGCTAGGCAACCAGATTTAATCAACTCAATTCTTTAATAATCAAATCATTATCAATGATATTAAAGATAATGTGTCATTCCAAACTTTGTCCATGTTGTTCAGACTATCCTTAGAAAATTGTTGGTTTATATTCAAGTGAAAATTTCAATGAAATATCTTTTGAAGCCTGCAGTGTTTGTTCATGTAGCTATGACTTTATCTGCTCTTTTATACTGTAGAATAAACACTAACTTGCCAACACACTGACACAATTTTACAGCATATACTCACAAACTAACAGTTTTTCAAGGATTGCCTCAATGAAATGTTTTATTATCATTTTGAAAAGGTCTTCCAAAGAACTCAGTTTGGTTGCCATGGCAATATCGCTCATTTTGGACCTTTATATCTACATATATTGCTATATCTGTAGCTTAATTTTACATGTTAGAGATAGTATACAGTCCCAAGTTGTACATGTTTATTTTCTGAAAACAATCATTCCAATACATTGTAATATTGTTTTTTTCTTCTAAATAGTGTATGTGCTTTATGTCTTACATTTCTCATTCATGTACCAAAACGTGAAATGTTTATTATTGAATAACTGGTATTTGTATTTAATTTATTTTTTAGCTCACCTGAGCATGCTCAGGGTGAGCTTTTAGGATCGATGATTGTCCGTCGTCCGTCCGTCCGTCATCCGTTCACATTTAGTTGTTAACACTCTAGCGGTCACATTTTTGCCTCAATCATCATCAAACTTGGTCAGGATGCTTATCTAGTTGATAGCTCGGAAGAGTTCGAACATGGGTCATCTCGGATGAGAAACTAGGTCACAAGAGCTAAAAATAGAAAAACCTTGTTAACACTCTAGAGGTCACATTTTTGCCTCAATCATCATCAAACTTGGTCAGAATGTTTGTCTAGGTGATAGCTCGGATGAGTTCGAACATGGGTCATCTCGGATGAAAAAGTAGGTCACCGGAGCTAAAAATAGAAAAACCTTGTTAACACTCTAGCGGTCACATTTTTGCATCAATCATCATCAAACTTGGTCAGGATGCTTATCTAGTTGATAGCTCGGATGAGTTCGAACATGGGTCAGCTCGGATGAGAAACTAGGTCACAAGAGCTAAAAATAGAAAAACCTTGTGAACACTCTAGAGGTCACATTTTTGTCTCAATCATCATCAAACTTGGTCAGGATGTTTGTCTAGGTAATAGCTTGGATGAGTTCGAACATGGGTCATCTCGGATGAAAAAGTAGGTCACCGGAGCTAAAAATAGAAAAATCTTGTTAAAACTCTAGCAGTCACATTTTTGCATCTATCATCATCAAACTTGGTCAGGATGCTTATCTAGTTAATAGCTCGGATGAGTTCGAACATGGGTCATCTCGGATGAAAAAGTAGGTCACCGGAGCTAAAAATAGAAAAACCTTGTTAGCACTCTAGTGGTCACATTTTTGCATCAATCATCATCAAACTTGATCAAGATGCTTGTCTAGGTGATAGCTTGGATGAGTTCGAACATGGGTCATCTTGGATGAAAAACTAGGTCACAGGAGCTAAAAATAGAAAAACCTTGTTAACACTCTAGTGGTCACAATTTTGACTCAATTGTCATCAAACTTGGTCAGGAAACTTGTCTAGGTCATTGCTGGGAAGAAATTGAACATGGGTCATCTCGGATGAAAAAGTAGGTCACCGGAGCTAAAAATAGAAAAATTTTGTTAACACTCTAGTGGCTACTGTTGTGATCCAAATATTCTGTTAATTGGTCTGAAAGTTTGTTTTGATGATTTCTAAGTCAAGTTCGAACATTGGTCATCTTGGATGAAAAAAAACTAGGTCACACCGCCCAAATATGGAAAAACCTTGTTAACATTCTAGTGGTCACATTTTCGACTCAATTATCATCAAACTTGGTCAGGATGCTTGTATAGGTAATTGCTTGGATGAGTTCGAAATCGCATGTGGAACTAGGTCACCGGAGCTAAAAATAGAAAAATCTTGTTAACACTCTAGTTGCTACTGTTTTGATCCAAGTATCCTTGAAAATTGGTCTAAAAGTTTGTTTTGATGATTTCTAGGTAAAGTTTGAATATGTGTCACCTGGGTAAAAAACTAGGTCGCACTGCTCAAATATGGATAATCCTTGTTAACACTGTAGTGGTCACATTTTTGACTCACCTGTCATGAGACTTGGTCAGAATGCTTGTCTAGGTAATTGTTTGGATGAGTTTGATAAATCAGGTGAGCGATCTAGGGCCATCATGGCCCTCTTGTCTTAAGAAGTACCAAAATAAAAAAAGGTTGATCATACATTACAGAAGAAGTATTTTGAGATGTACATCTATAAATAATTTGTGTTTTTATGTCATTTTATTTCAAAGTGCTTCAATATTTAGCACCAATGTAGCCAGCTTAAAAAGATAAACTTTGTCAAAGAAGAAAACAATAGCTAAGTTCAAGCTTATTCATTTTTTGTTCAAGTTTTTTATAAATTTTCTTTTACCACCATTTGATTATTTTTATTAGTTACATTTCCTTTGTATAATATATAAAAAATAATAACGCTTATTGTCTATAAACATTTCTCTGATTACACAATGTTATATGAATAAGTTATTTTTATATTTTATAGAATGTTTTTGTTTACTTATTTTCAATTTAATGTTCAGTTAAATTCAGTTACTGTTACTTTTAACATGTTTAAGATTGTTTAAGACGTTTACCAAAGGTATCCCATGCTAATTCAAGTTGTTTAACTAATATATCCCACGTTCCTTCCATATATTCTAAGTTCCTTTCGGATGTTTAACAAAGGTATCCAATGTTCCTACAAGATGTTTGACTAATATACCCCATGTTCCTTCAAAATGTTAAACTAATATATCCCTCGTTCTTACAATATATCCTATGTTCCTTCAAGATGTTGAACTAATCTATACCATGTTCATTCAAGATATTAAATAAATACTTGTATATTCCATGTTCTTTCAAGATGTTTAAGTATTATAACATGTTACTTCAAGATGATTAACAAAGATATCCCATGTTTTTTCAAGATCTTGTAAAAATATTTTGTATTTCAAGATGTTTATTTAAGGAGTCTCATCTGATTTCAGAACATTAAATAACACTGTATCATCATGTATACATGATATGTTCAAAAAGCATTTTTTAGCATATTACTTTTGTATAGACTCAAGAACAGAAATGTTACCATTATTGTGCCATAGTAGTTTTCACACTTGTGAATGATTTTCTCATATTTAACTAACAAATTTTCTCTACCATTATTTTACATGTTCAAGTATAGAAATAGAACTAATGATTTCTGAAATTCTTACAAAAAGACATGCTTTTCAGATCCTAAAAATGACTCACAGTTTAGATAAATGAAAAAACAAAACATGTTGACTAATTCAAAACTTGAAAATATCTCATCTATATAATTATGTCATTATATATTTGTATTTTCATTTTTTTGTCCAGTTCCTGCAAAATGTTACAAAATGATTTTATAAAACCTGAATATGTATATATTATGACTAAATGGTATATTTTTTTGTTTTCAAAATAAGTTGTGTTGTTTAATTTATTCTTAAGCATCAGTGTGGTAAAACTGACACAACCATGATATAACAGATACTTCTGTTACTATAATTCTCCATGGATATAGAAAACAGTTATTTAAATTGATTCATTTTTAATATATAGACTGTTTACAAACAGTTTTGAATTCATGTCCATTCCTGAAAATAAAGTGAATTTATAAGATGTTACTCTGGAAATCAATATGGTATGAACGTAACACAAACAACACTGGTAAATTTTCAAGTACATATTCAACCTTTAAATGTTGCAAAAGTCCGCCTTCTGGAAATTATAAAAATCATCAAACCCAAACACTTTAATCATATTTGTAATGCCAAGTGCTTGTTTATTAAGATATATACTGGTATTAATTTAAGTGACTTCATTAAAGAATTGTTGACCCAAAATACATTATTATGCAACATATTTTTTTCTCTTTCTTCAATCAGTTTTTATCAGTCTTATTTTATATCAATAAAAGTCATATTTTTACATTGACTAAAGCAAAAATAAATGAACTAGATAAACCACAATTATTGTTACCTTTATACACCTGGTAATCAGAATTTTATATGCCTAATTTTTGAAAATATCTTTGTTATGAAAAGTAAAAGTTTATTACTATTGAAAACTATTTGTTTAAGATGATTTTTGAAATTGTATTTAAACGTGTATTTTTTACCTCAGAATGACTGGCAAATACCTAAATGTAACTTTCTTGCAGATGTGAATAAAAGTCACTATGAATATTTATGCCAACAAGATGTGTAACTTGTAATGGTTTGGTTTAAACATATTTATTTAAAAATAGCTCGATTGTGAAACAAGTTCTTGCAACTTATATTAATCACTGTCTAGTCCACTTCCTGGAACCAGCCAGGACTGATGTCATTTGAAGAAACATGGTTGTGACACGAGTAGGGCTCAAACCCATGATCTCTGGGTTTGAGAGGCAGACACCTTAACCACTAGGCCACCGCTCCCCCACTTGTAATGGTCATGTAATATCAGAAGAATAAGGTCTTAATCACCAAGCTTTGAATAATATTTTACATTTAACATTTGCAATTGTTCTAATAACTTGAATATAACATTTACTTATTTAGTTGTATTAACTTGAATATGATATTTACTGATTTTGTTGTAATAACTTGAATATAACATTTACTAATTTAATAATAATTACAATGTACTTAAATACATGTATAATATTTTACATTTAACATCTAGTGTTTTCGTTGTAATTACTTCAATATGATATTTTACATTTAAGATCTATTGTTTAGCTGTAACTACTTGAATATAATATTCTATATTTAACATTTACTGATTCAATAGATAAATACTTGAATATAATAATTTAACAGTTACTGATTTATTTGTTATTACTGGCATATTATATTTTACATTTAACATTTACTGACTTAGTTGTAATTACTTGAATGAATATGCCCATGATTGTTTTCAGTTTCATTCACCTATCCTCAACATTAGCAAGTTTGTACATAGATATACAATATTACATGTAATATTTTCATAAATATTTATTTCTGTAAATTGGCAAGTAGTATCTGTTCATTTCGTTTCTATTATTTTGTATTTTAGTGTGATTTTATATACTGTGATGCAGATTTCAATGATGTTAATAAAATTTTTGAACAAAAATGCTCTGTTCTTTTTCCGACCAGCCTGTCTGTGAGTGTATGTGTCAGTAACTTTTTCATGTCGGCTGCTAAGCTGCTAAGAAGTTTCTGAAATATCTTGCCATAAATGATCACCATTATGACATGATATTCAGAGTGCAACAAACAGGTAGTTGCTCAATATCACACTTATATTCAATAATATAAAAAGTCATAATTTTGTGCCTGCTTTAAAAAGTTTTTGATATAACTGTACACAAATGATCACTATCTTGACACGTCATGCAGATCCAACAGCTAGTTTGCCTCTCCCAAGGTCAAGATCACACAGGTCCCCATTTTAAAACCATTTCTTAATTTTTAAATTATTCAAAATAAC